AGCCAGCAAGATGCACAATGTAATCAGCACTTAAGCCTGTTCTTTTGTTTTACAGTCTTCCTTTTGGCAGTGTATCTTAAAGATGAGGGACCTGTACTAACAAGCCTGTTAACAGCAAATTTCTAAGATCACCGTGAATGCAATGTGAAAAGATGAAAAACATTAATTAGCACTGTAAAGATATTTATGATTAAGTTATGTTTAATTGTTGTGTTTTAGGGAGATATATGCGTATGAGTTTCCTTTCATTTCATAATACTCTTTTAAGTGCAAAATTTAAATCAAAATAGAAATTTTGATTTTTCACCTCGGTCTAAATGAATGTATGCTAGCTGCAGGTGAGATAATGCATAAGCTATCCAACCAAGGACTGCAACTGAATATCTAGATTAGTTTTACATGCAAATTGCAGGGACAACACAGTAATGGTAGGTTATTTAAATTTAAAGCTACAATATTCTACTGTAAAATTTTGGAGTCAGATCAAAAAGTCCATGTGTTACTGAAGCTGGATTTTCCATTAACTGTTGTCATTAATGGCCTCAAACTGATCCACAAAGCCTTGATTCATTGCGCATGAATAAAACCATTAGTTAGGCTACAGTCTGAACTCCTCACAAAGGAAGCCTCGTCCAAAAGTGGGGCCAAGTTGTCAACAGTGTGTTTTGAGGGTGCTCAGAAATAGTCAGGAAAATTGGACTGTCTCCAATCTGACCCAACCTGCTTCACAAATCATGATGAGCAATCTCTATTGCATGTAACACCTTTATCACCAAGTAGACTAGAATGCTACAGTACAGTTACTGAGATGAAAAACCCCATCCACATTAAAACACAAAATCATATAGGCTATTTAATTATTTTATCAGTACTGTATCCGGGATAGCTGTATAAATCAGATAAATCTGTATAAATCTCTCAACCACAAGAGCTCGATTATCTGCGACACAGAAGCCAATACACTACTACTACAGTAGCTGGGGTTACCCAAGTGCACCACAGAGAGATGACTGTGGTCGTTTTCACCGGTCCTAAAGTCGCTGACCCTAGAGTGAACTTCTACAACGCAAAATATAATTAATTCATATATTCTCCCTCTCTAACGATATTACCGTAGGTAACACATCAATGATCAGACACACAGGACAGGGACTCGCCGGGGTCAGGCTGTCCTCAGACCAACAGCCTCTTGAGGTTCTGATCTATACATACCTTGGCATGAGACATCTGCATTTTGGAGAGCAGCAGGAATTGAAACATTCCTAGAATAACTTGAAGCATAATCCCCATTGTGCAAGAGTCCAAGGGGCACGCTAAAATATTTTGGGCCAATCCAAAATACCCGGCCGCCCAAGAGAATGGTGGCTCCTGTCACCTTAGAAATATCCTGCTCTGATTCTCCAGTTTCTTTTCCCATGAACGACACCCAGGGGGGGCATTTTCAGTTTCAGACGAATTACTTTATTCTGTTGCATTTGAAAAAGCAGTCAGATCAAGTGTAAATTGTGTGTTGTCATTTAGATCTGTGCCAAAATCCACAGGCTAGCTTTTGGCAACCGAATATGACAAATCTTGCAGAATGTATGTTGGCACGTGTCTGAAGTTTAAGTGATGTCTATGCGCGCGTCCTGTAGCAGCAGGTATCCGCTTATAGCGCTGTGGCAGGTGATGCAGCAGACAAATGTCCCCTAAAGTCTGGCCCGGTGTAAAATCCTAGACGGGAATATAATCATATTTTTGCTGCTTCTCAAAAGAAGATATATCCGGCAGAGCTCCCTCCGGCGCTCAGCGACGTGCTGAGGACAGTGGCGCATATCCTCTCCGGTTTGCTCAGTGTGGCGCTCTGAAAATATGACGTTCAGCTTGGGTTCATCATGCCCTTCAGCAGCCCATTCCCCGCATAAATAAACAAGACTTTAATGATCCTCGCTGTTCGGTGACGGCGGAGCCCGACGTCAGAAAATGTAGGAGTCTTTAAACAGTTGGTCAGTTTCCTCGTTTCCTTTGCCCTTGAAACCTTTGCCTGAAACGCACACAACGTAACCATAGCGCTGTCAACTTTTTTTTAGAGCCAGGACAGCGCACTGAGTGCAGGTGCACCATGCAGCGCGCAGACGCTACTTGTGCCACTCTGGCCCCGAGTTCAATGCTGCCCTGAGGACTGGGAGGTCACAGTACTTTTCTTCACTGTTCTCTTTTGGAGTTATCAGCAGGACACAGACGGGGCAAAGAAAACAGCTTTATGGCAACCGATCCTACAAATAAAGCACTAAATGAAGTGCTTAATTACGAAGACTACCTTTTGAACAGGAAATGTATTATGACAAGTTTGGATATTGTTACGTTTAATGCCTTTGTCTGGAACGCCCAATACATTTCAGATAAATCTACAAAAAATATCACAACATAAACGAAACACGACGTACACATATGCAAAAGCCTATTTCACATCTCAGGCAGTAATTATTGTCACGGTCCTCATTTCATTTGGTGTTTACACTTAGACAACCCTGTTTCCCATGAGTGAGAGAGAAGGCATGTTGTGCCATTAAAGCTTGTTTGGGTTATGACAGCACGCTCACACGCCACAGGAGGATGAGGGTATCTATCTGCATGCATGAAAGGATATGCTGCTATCTGGTGCTGATGTCTCCATTTCGGGGCCCCTTTAACAGCCTGACATTCAAACACATCTGGCATGTGTCACAATCCAGACTTCTACATAGTACTAAATATGGAAAAATATTATGTATAATCTGTCAAGATGGCTACAAATACAAGACCTGCTACGAAATAGGTGATTAATTTACACAGTTGGTGCCTAGATTGAGAAGACTAATTTGAGTTAATAAATATGCAGTGGTTATAAATATGCTTTCTAGCCTTGTTCATAGCTTTAAGAAAAACAGACAGGAAAGGAAAATATAGGGAAACACGTTAGGTCAGAGACTAGATTCAAATATATACCAACTATGTAAGGTCTTTGCAATATTCTCTTGACTTAATCACATTCAAAAATTTGTTTGAGTTGCAGATGACTTTTTATACATGCAGTTAAATCCTGAATAAGCTATTAAATTGCAGCACAAATGAGTGGAAGGAGGCACATTATTTCAGTAAGAGTGTCAACAGTTTTATTTGTTTCATTATTCATATATGGATAAGCCAAATAAGGCAACAGTAGGCACACATGAAAATGTGGGCTCTTAACACAACAACACTTGTATATTTACAATCATCCTGCACCAAGTCACTACCAACAAAGCCAATCCTGTTTCAACAACAGGAGGTTAGGGTTTTATGCATGAGGCTCAAAAAAACAAGCCTTGCCATTTGTAATATAAATAAGTTTAGTCCTCCAATGAGAGAGAGAAAATACCCACCAGCCTGTGCCTGGTTTGGTGAGGTTTAGGTTGCAGCGTTAGGGGACTGATTCACAACTGTGATTCTACTGAATGTCTCTCCCTACTCACCATTCAGGTACACAATTGGGGCCTCATTCAAGTTTCATTTCATGATGCCAAAGATTTAAATATTGTTAAAAGTTTAACAACCTCTTTTTCCTGTACTGTCACAAAACACCTGTGTCAGGAAAACCTACTATTCGTCTCCACCACGACGCATTCTATACTTCTGTAAAAACTCAGCATGTTTCTGGCTGAGAATTTCTCTCTGCTTTTCAAAACTGTTGACCCTGTATAACATGGACATTAAAGAAGTGAATTAGTTGAAAAATATGACAAAAGTAGAAAATTCACAATGTAACAATGACTGTATGAATATACCTGGCTCGTTCTTTTGCTTCATTGTAAATTGCAGTTATTACTCTATCCTTCTCATCCATATAATTATTGTGGATTTCTTCCAGTTTTCTGTTCAAAAAATTGAAAAATTATGAATATTCAGTACCTTGCAATAGGAATATAGACAAGTTACAATGATTTGATTTGAGAATATTTATACAATATTATTAACTTTGATTTGTCAAGTATACATCACCTGAGTAATCTTATTTTAAGCATAATGAGAATTATTCTGCCCTGTCTCATTATTAGTAAACACTGACCTGACAAGTGATTTAACTTTGATAGTATGACAAAATACAGCAAAAATACCTCAAGCAATTATGTACCTGAAAAGGAGGTAGTGAAACCCAACACTTAACACCATTGCAATAATGCAATAACCCAACACACGCAGGTTTTGGGTCCTCCTCTTTTGCCATGCATCAGTTGACATGTTATGTGCATTAGACTGACGAAACTGTTCCCAATAGCGCTGATTTTCATATGCCTCTGACCTAAAAATGAAAAGAGTTTGTATGGATATTTTGAATAAAAAGGGCAGATTGTTCAGGTCATATATACCTGAATTTGTCTGCAGGGTCAGTATATTTAAAGTCAGATCCATAGGTCTGATGAGCACTGTAATGATGTCTAAGCTTTAGGTCATATTCTTTCCGGCTTTTATCTTTGCTCAGAATTCTATAGGCCTCATTCAACTTCACAAACTGGCTGTGGAGCTCTGGATTAGAGGGGTCACGGTCTGGATGCACCTGAAAAATTTAGATAGAATAAAAACTAAATCACATTGGTCTGATGCTAAACCTTTTAGAAAAGATACCTTTTTAGATTTGTCAAAAAATGCATTTTTAATTTCTTCCAAGGATGCATCTGATTTGACTCCCAAAAGTTCATAATGGTTTACAGATTTTCTGTGTGGTAAAAAACGTAAATTTTATTTTCAAATGGTAATGCAAATGTTTACTAAGATGATAAAAACACACCTGTAATTGTGACCCTGAGAAAACAATCGCATGCCACCCCTGTAGCACCACAGACACGTCTGACACAAGCGGAGCTGGGCCTCCAACTGCATTATGGAGAACTGGTAACAATCTGCAAGACAAGTATGTTAGGAATTAAAATTATAATAATAACCCCGTAATATAACTTTAGAATATGTGACCACGGATGGTGAGAATATTTCATGCCACTTGTAAGATGGTGTTGTTGTAAAATAGTTAAGACACCATTCTGTAAATAAAAACATATAGCCTTGTGTATTTAAAGACAAAAATTATGATCTCGACACACTGGCCTCACTTCATAGTGAGACAGTGCTGAAAGAGGGCACCAGTCAGGAATGGTTCAAAGCGTCATGGCTGGAGGACAATGTGGACATGTCGGAGAAATTAATGTCATGTAGCACATTTAACAGCCGTTTAGTAAGAATATTAAACATTTAAGTTTACATCATATTGTTATATTTCTTTCATCTTATGTTGGGTACATCATGTTCTACACCGAAGTTAGCTTCTGCCATAGACGGGACTAAGTTAGCATTCGATGTTTACAAAACAGACACGAGAAGTACTTTAAGTTTATGACAGAGCTCATCCAAGGCACTAAAACAATAATAGCTACATACATACAGCCAATGTCCTACCAGCAACCAGTCTTTAGTTCATAACACTGCAGAATAGCAAATGTTGCATAAATCTGACGATGCAAAGTTATCACGAGTTTCATCGCGGAAACCTGAAAACCGGAAATTTTCATAATAAAAGACACACCGTGATTAGAAGAGGCGAGTAGATTTTGACAAATTTAATAACAGTGGGTGATCAAACAACAGTGAACTTAACTAGATAAATCTTTACATTAGCACCTAGACAATAGGCAGTCTTTTTTTAATGATCTTCTAATGATGCTGTTTATCAAGAACCCTGAAGATGGCGTTAGTCGTCTGTTAAAATGCGGAAGAAGCAAGACACCTATTCACCGGTTAGGTAAAAAAAAAAAAAAGTCAAGAGGATTGTACCGATTACATTTTTTGTTGTTTTTGCTTTTTGTACGTGTTTGCAAACATTGGAGGTCATGTTTATTTCTGATGCTATCGATGTAAAATGCTTCTTTTTGAAATGGCGTAAGTGGTGTTAGGTCACAGTTTTGACTGAAAATTGTTCCTTCAGTTTAAATCATCATGGACCCCGAGGTGTCATTATTGCTGCACTGTGCTGACTGGAAAGGACTCAGAAAGTGTCAGGTACAAGTGGAGCTTTCAGAACGGTATGGTTTACAAGAAAATAAAAAAATACTCATATGTATTTATATGTTTATTATGTATGTCTTTTAGACTGAAATCTGTTGTATTGACACTAGGTATAACAGGCAAACAGATCCAGCACTTGAAGATCATATAGAGAAATTGTGGAAAGAGAGGCTTGCCAAAGAGCCCTGGATTTTCAATGGAGCAAAGTTCAGACTACACTCTTTCTCATTGGCTTGTGACAAAAACTTTGAGGCTGATGATGCTTGCATCAAAAACTACAAAGAAAACCTAGTGGAGATTAACAGCAAAGAAGAAGATACTTTTACAGCCATCAATGCATGCATTGGAGATAAAGCGACTGCTCTGCCATCAAAAGAATCTCAGAGACAAGAAGAATGTGTCCTTATTCTACGGTTAGGCTTGACCAGCTATAAAGATTACCTTGGTACCAACTGGTCAGCACAGGCAGAGGAGCTGTGTAGACGTGGGGAGGTGGAGTTTGGTGACCCATTGTTGTTCCTTGCTCAGCCCCTGGGGGTTGGGGCTGTCCTGTCTACAATGGATGACCAGATAGTGTTCATCAGAAGGAGCCATAGGGTTGCAGAAGCAGGTGGCTTGCTAGACATCCCAGGAGGACACCCAGAGCCAAAGGTGGGGAGCAGTGTGACAGATTAAACACACTGCATTTTTCAGTGTTTGTTATTATTTCTGGCCCTTAGGTTGTGTGTGAGAATTTGGGACTGAAGATTTGTGAAGACAAGATCAGCATGGTTATGCTGAGTCCAGTAGCTGTTGTCACTGAACTGTATTCATCAGTTTGTGCAGAGATTCGTGATGAGGTTTGTTTCATTTTTGAAATATTGTAGTAAATTTCAATCTTTCAAATGCTCTGAAATGTGCACTGTGAAAGAAATCCTCATAAGTGGTTTCTTTTTCATATTTGCTGCTCCCCATTTCTCACTATACCTCTTAAAGTCTATTTAAAATTCAGAGTGAAATTACACTAGAAATTTAACTATATCCATGTCTTTTTTAGATAAACATTCCTTTGAAATTCCTTGGAGAGCCACTGTTGATTGGAATAGCTCTGAATCATACAAGTGCAGGCCGACCAAGTGCAGAGTTTTACATCAGGTATTTGGCCCCACTCAGCATTATAATGTCTTCTGTGTCTACAACATAATTTATCAATGTTTAGCTGTTCATTGACTTCGGATCAAGTCAAAAGGTTGTACCTGAAAGGTGGTGCTGAGGCAAATGAATCAACAGACATAATTTTTGTCAGCAAAAAGGTACTCAATCTACACACTTAAAAATTCCTGTCTGAGGTATGATATTAAATATTTTTTTCTACTCTTTAAATTGGAAGACTGTGTTACAGCTGGACCAGACAAATAATCTGTGGCCTGAGCTGTGCCCTTCAGCCAAAGGAGCTGTCCTGCTATATCAGACTGTGAAGCCAGACGTGAAAGAAAACTAGACCAAACTGTCTACACCCACACACTCCACAAGACAAAGCAGAACTTGTGTGAAGTCAACTTAAGGCCCATATTGTTTTATTTCTTGAGCAACATTGTGTAATCTTGAGAAATTATATTTTTTGTGCAAATACACAAAATGCAAAAATATGTAATAATAAAATGCTAAATTTTCAACAAAACAAAAGCAGTCTTGAATGTTAAAATTGCTGATACTAGCAAGTAGGGTATTGTCTGTGAACATAAAGATCCAAGTCCCAAACCTGTCACTTGTTATTGTTTTGACAAATGCTGCAGATCAATTTCTCACTAGCAGCCCTTTTAACTGCTGTTATAGTAGTACCCTTGAAGACAGGAAGCAGGCCACTAAAACACACAATAACATCTTATTTGTTCTTATTGTTCCGATATTATGCAAGTAGTACATTTACGTTATGTATATACAGTATGTAATCGCTATTAGCCATGTTATTAATAAACATTTGTGCCTACATCTGTGTTACTGATACTTACAAATTGCTGTTGCTGGCTCCATGAATGCAGATGGGTCCAACCTTAAAGAAGTTATGAAAATGAATATATGCCTGCAACATTAGTCGTCCTTTTGAAAATAATTATTCTTACCATTTTGACACATGCTTCTAGTCTTATGAAATGATTTTTGACATTGAGGATATGGCCTTTTCTTGAAACGCTGTCGTTTCCTCTCGTCATTTTTGGGGGCAGGGGGCAACAGTTTGCGTGCCTCATCTTTATATTCCTGCAACATTGTCTGTGCTTGTGGCTGTGATAACTCTATATAGTGTAGTTCTTCTATAAGATCAGCTTGCTCTGGAAGAGTGCAGCTGACTGAAAACATAATTAATTAATTTAGAAACAAAACATTTCTCAGCAAAGACAAGGTTTGAAGCAAATGTAATAACCTTACCTTGCAATTTAAGGAAAGCATTTTGAGGGATTTGCTCTCCTTTTAGTTGACGCTGTGAAAGACGTTTTTTCCATTCCTCTTTTGAGGGGAAAATGACCATCACTTTTCGTCTGAAACCCACAAATAGCTGCAACTTGTAATGACGTGCAGAGAAGAGAATGTTACACTGTAAAGAAGAAATAGAATTGTTATGTATTTTTTATAAAAGAAAGTATGGAATGCTCATAAGCATGTAATATACAGGACTAATCACCTGGTCGAGGATGTAGTTGCCTGGCCTTTTAGCAGCAAGTTTGATTAATTCAGTAAGACACTGGGAAGCTTGCTGAAGCATGGTATCCCTTTGTACACCTGTCTATATATAAAACAAAGTTAGTAGCAGAGACATATGTTTTTAAAGAAAAGATTTCACTTACAATCATACATGCAAGCAGCTCCTCTGTACTCAACAGCCTGTATTGCTTTTCTGGATGTTGCTTTATGTGGTTCTTGGCCCAGTGGGTTTTTCCAGAACCAGGGAAACCAACCATTACAATCACCTACAGAGTATAATAATCTATAAACTATGTGTATAAACTATACAGGAGTTTTTTAAATTACAGATTACAATTTTATACTTGCCTCGCACTGCGATTTAGACTGAGGTGCAGAGACAGCACAAATCTTTTGCTCATCAGACAGTGCTATTAGCGACGTAAACCCTGGAGGAGAAGGGTACCATGCACCAGCCATAGGATCAAGAAGAAACCGAATAGAACAGCTTCTACAGAGAGCATGTGGGAACAGAGGTTGTCCCTGCAGTGCTGATGCATCAAGCGAATATGCAATGCCCAAAAACAATCCATTTTTATGAAAGGAGAGTTCAACAGCACCACCTGATGAAAAGGACTGAAGAAAAATGTTACAATCTTACCAATTGAAAGTGCAGATTAAATAGGTGAATAGTCAGTGAGACTTACAGCATAGCAACCAACTATATCTCCCACAGACAAGGGCTCCCCATAGTTCTCTTCTTTTCCATGGGAAACCTTTTTGCCCCGCCCATCATAGGCAAATGATAAATAGTCTTTACCTACAATAAATGGTTATGAAGCAATAACAGAAATACTTTAAGCAATCAATATAAAAAAAAAAATCATATAAAAGTAAAGAACATACCAAGCAATAAGGAGGTACTGGCCACTGACCATCCAATTCTTAGGCCAAAAGACTCCATTTCATCATTATGTTGCTCTTGTGGTTGTGAGGTCGGGAGCCTCTCCAGCTTCACTTCAAAACCCACTCGGTTCTGTTTAACTCCATGGGTAAGCCTGCAGCCAGACCAGAGCAGAGGAAAGCGGTCCCAAAACTGTGGATGACCACCAGCCCCATCAGGATCAACTTCAAAGTGAAGGTCACTATTGTCTTTTGGCAAAAAACAAAATTTGTTTAAAAACTACAAGAACAATATTATAGAAAACTATTGTTTTAACAATATAAGTATATAACCAACATAAATCAATTTTAACGATGTTTCGATCTTCCTCCACAGGCTCTTCTGTCACTAGTATAAGGGGCAACTTGGATCTTATAGAAATGAAAGACAAAAACATATTAAAGTGTAACAAAATTAATGCACATATACACATAAATATTTCATTTGTTGCAGGACACTGTGACAAACAATATAAAATCCAACCTTTTATATTTTATTTCTTCTTTGAACTCGTAAAAGGCTCTTCCCTTTCCCATCTCCAATATATCTCTTGTCGCAGCCTTCTCATCCTCAACCATGGACTCTTCCTTGTCCTGTGGTTTCTGCTGCTCCTGGTCCCATGGCCCAGATCCTGGTCCTGAATCCAAAGGGTCTGGAGTTACAGTCAGTCCACTGAAGGCAGGGTCTGTCTGCGTGGCTCTCTCTGCGTACTCTCTGCGGGATTGTGTCGGTCGATAAACTGTTTCTTCTTGTGTCGATATCGTTACGTGAGGATGTGCTGTAGTGTCACTTCTCACTTTTGACTCGAGTCCACCGTCTACCGCTGACCATAGTCTACCTACCAGCTCAACCTTAAGTCCTTTACTGTCCAAACCTAGTTTCTTCAGTCGAGATTTTAACTCCGGGACTTTTAACTTTTTTAAATCCTCAAGTTTTGCAGCCATATTTAACTTTCCTCGACTTAAGTTAGAAGCAGCAAAGATGTGTTGTTGATCTAAACATCGGTTTAATATGGAGCCCTGGGCTCCGATTGGCCATAGAAATAACTCTGCTGATTGGCCAAGAACTATTTACTCTCTAGTTTTACTCGCGTACATGGCTCATTGCCTCTCTCTGGCGGTGTGATGTGTCACTGCATGGAACACACAATATTTCATTGATTGTGGCATACACAGTCTATACTGTGAGGTATTTTGTATTTCAATAGAAGGTTATGAACCACTGTAAATCCATGGTGTAAATACATTTCATAGTCACCAGCCCCCACAAAAAAGCGTAATTTTGACACAATATTTTATCCAAACAGATAATTAAAAACAAGAATTACATGACATCTAGTTGACAACATTCTCTTGTAGTGAAACTTGGTGTCAAACTTGGTGTTGATTATCGTCTTAATAACACTTTGAAATAAAATCTTTTCATGGACTGCGCGTGAACGCAGCAGTGACGTAGGCCTCACACCGACATTCTGGCCGCGGAGGATTCTGGGAATAGGTCAAGAATCGATGTAAAGAAGCAAAGATTAACGCTGGACCAAAATTCTGATCCAAACTAAGATTAAGTCGGTTTGTCGTTTGTTTTTAAGTAGTTGTATCTATTTTATAGGTCGTAATACCCTGAGACCGGTAGAGAGCAAATATACAAAGCTATAGTCTTTTAAAAACCTATTTCCAAGTAGGCTAATGTTAGCAGGCTAGCAGTTGCATTGTTATTGTGACTTTCTTTCGATCCCAGTTGGAAAAGCCCCTCCGAGATCTTCCCCAGCGAAAGCAGGGGTTGACTGGCCGAGTGATGTTTTACAGCTTTCCAAGGGAAGATGGATGAAAAGTCCAACAGAAGCTTCAGCAGGCACCATAGATTGTTAATAGCTTTGTTTATGGTGTTGCTTTTTGGCGTCATCATGGTCCAGTACATGTGTCCCAGTGGTGCTGAGTGTCAGACTTTGCACACCTTGGGATCGTGGTTTAAGATCTGGAGTACGTCCAGTTCTCATAGTGGCCATGTATTACAAGGTAGTGTTTCCAAAGATCCATACCTCGCAGAAGACAGGGCTTTGGTTCGCTTTATTCCTCGTTTTAATTTCTCCAAAAATGATTTATATCGGGTAGTGGATTTCAACATTAAAGGTGACGACGTTATAGTATTTTTGCATATTCAGAAAACGGGGGGCACAACATTTGGGCGACACTTGGTGAGGAACATTCAACTGGAAAGACCGTGTGAATGCCATGCAGGGCAGAAGAAGTGTTCCTGTTATCGGCCAGGTAAAAAAGAGACGTGGCTATTTTCACGTTTTTCTACCGGCTGGAGCTGTGGTCTTCACGCAGATTGGACTGAACTCACGAATTGTGTCCCGTCAAGGATGGGCTCACAGGAACCTCCCAAGAACCTCCCAAGGTTGGTTATCACATTTTAAAATGATCATGACTACTAAAATACTAAGCCATGGAAAGCCATTCATTCTCATTTACTGATTTGTGACCAATTTGTGTCCCCAATTATGAGGTAAACCATTAAATATGGCTTATTATATCCAATTATTATGTTGAATTATACTTAATTACATACTTTTCATTGTATGTTTTGGCTGATTATCCTACATGAAAACTGAATGAACATTAACATTGCCAGATCTTATACAAAAACTAGTTTGAAAGGCTCGCAACAGGCCGTCACTATCTGATCTGAATGCTAGTGGAGTCTTTGCAGTGAATTCAAACTGGGCCATAAGTTCTTTGGGTGAAATACTTTATTTCACATACTTTTTTGTTTAGTGTGTTCAGTAAAGTTGGCTTTTTTATATATAATTTGTTGGTTGAGGTTTCCAAACAAAGGTGGCCTTCCCATCATTATTCATTTCCTAACCATAAACAAGATACATTTTGCTATAACATGGTATAACATAATAAAAAAATAGTTCACTTTATTGCTCCAGGCTGAACTTTGCTCCAAACTGTCTTCTTACAACCACAGGATTGGATTAAATATGTTTTTATGATATGAAGAATAAAATTATATGTTGATTTTTTTTCCTACTTTTGTTTTAGGCGTAATTATTACTATATAACCATTCTGAGAGATCCTGTATCCCGTTACCTAAGCGAGTGGCGACATGTACAGAGGGGTGCTACGTGGAAAGCATCTTTACATGTTTGTGATGGACGTTCACCAACTCTCTCTGAGCTACCAAGCTGTTACTCCGGTGATGACTGGTCAGGCTGCACCCTTCAGGAGTTTATGGATTGTCCTTACAATTTGGCAAACAATCGTCAGACCCGTATGCTGGCAGACCTGAGCCTAGTGGGCTGCTACAATGTCTCTGCCATGAGTGAGGATGAGCGCTGGGCTGTACTCCTGGAGAGTGCCAAGCGCAACCTACGAAGCATGGCTTTTTTTGGGTTGACAGAGTATCAGCGCAAGACCCAGTATCTGTTTGAGCGTACCTTTAACTTGGAGTTTATTGCTCCTTTTACACAGCTGAATGGTACTCGTGCATCCAGTGTTGAGGTGCCAGCTGAGACACAACACAGAATTCGTGTCCTTAACAAATGGGATGTGGAGCTGTATGAGTATGCAAGAGATCTGTTTCTCCAGCGCTTCCAAGTGGCAAGGCAGCAGGAGCGCAGACAGGCACGAGAGAAGCGTCTACAAGAGAGGAGACGACTCCGTGAAAGACTTGCTGTTAAACAAGGATTACAATTAAAGCCCATAGGAACAAACAACCCTGCAAAAGATCACCATGTACAAACAGAAGAGCAGCAAAAAGACAAGCCTGCTGCGGACACTGAAGGGCTACTCCCAAATTGGTGGGAGGGCGATGAGAACGATGATGCTATGGATGACTACATGGACAATGTAGAACAGTGGTAATGAAAAACATGATGTGCCAATTTTTGCCTTCTCACTAATTTTAGATGTTTTCTACAATAGTTGCTGAAGAGGTATAAGATACTAAATATTGTATCATAAAAAGTTTTTAATTATTTAATTGAAATCAGTTTTGTTTAAACACTAACAGTTGTTTGATCTGTTTGTGATCACAATTTATATCTGTAAATTGTCTGTAATACACTTACACAATTTTAGATACTTCTGAACTTTGATCATTGAATGTTGATGTTTTGATTTTAAAATATTTTTTTTCTACACTGAATGTTTATACAGTATAGATTTCTTTTATAAAAATTCTTTTTATGTACTTACTGGCTTTTTAGTCATTTCTTTATTTAGCCTAAAAGAAGTAAATCTGGTTAAATTGTATCGTAGCATAAAGAAAGAGTCAGATAATCGGATCAATGCAGTTGGTCTGTTACCTGTTTCTGTTACCTCGTTGGGATCCCATCTTGTCCCCAGTGCTTCAAAACGGCTGGGTTAAAAATACTTCTATAATTATGGGATGGCATTAAATAATAAGTATAATATATTCTGTGTTAAATAAATTCTCTCTGCAAGGTGGCTGGGCCTACAACATGCACAATATGTATGAATCCTCCAGCTAAGACAGTTTTGACCACGCCCAGCATGAAGTCTAGCTCTTGACAGCTTTCCCCATACATTGCTATCACAGTACGGGAATAATAAAGTATACCATAACCTTGTATTGATAATGAAATACACACACATACACACTTATTTATTTAGTTAAGTTGTTGTCTGGTTGGAGGAGGTTGTTGTGGGTGTCACTAGAAAACCAAGGGTCACTGAGAGAAAAATGTTGAGAACCACTGCCCCAGACAATGACTGTTTTGCAAGTTCATTGCATTGTATTGTGTGAACAGGCTTAAGCATTAAATAAAATGGCCTTTTTTTATATTGTTGAGGCGCTTCCTGGATCGGATAAGTTAAAAACAATCTGATAAACTTACCCGATTAGATCCGAGGCACACTGATATGCGGTTATTTTTATTAGTGCCACAAACAACGTCTTTTACTTGTAAAATGTACTTGTACTTGAGTTATAATCAGGGTAGACAGGATTTACCATGGGGAAAAAAAACTAGCGGGAAAAATCAAAAAATTGTGCAGGGTTTCTACCTGATGCAACAATACCGGGAACATTAAAATCATGTTTTGATGTTCAAGCAACTCCAGCGGTCCAGGTTAAAGCAATGTAAGATGGATAAAAAAAAAGTCTATTTTGTAGGCTATAATATGTGTCCTTTAAAAGAGATTGAAAATGAACCGATAGGCTCTTTGAATACAATGTTCTTTGCATCCTTTAACGGTTGGGATGATTAATTAACTAGAAAAGCACTCAGAGAGCGCAGACCTCCGCCAAGGACTACCCCCATTTTTTATATAAATTGCGATAAAATCAGTCTTCTGGATCAGATCCGGATCAGCCTTTGGAATATGAAAGAGGATCCCATTGTCCATCCCTGATTCAAATTTCATGGGGTTTGGTCAATAATTAACCGAGATATTGAGAAACAATTTTTTTGGCCCCATTTACCTTGCCTGGACGAATCCAGACTCATCGCTGTACCAGCGGCTGATATGGAGCTGTATAACAAATACAGAGAAATATCCTTCTGGATTTCCAGGCAACCATTTACCACAATGTTAACTAAAATTTCGAAGTGATCCAGAATCCAGGATTTCTTCCGGATCACCCACAAAATGAAATCAGTTCTTCCTTTTCACATTTCCAACAAATCCTGAAAATTTCATCAAAATCGGTCCATAACTTTTTGAGTTATGTTGCTAACAGACAAACAAACAAACAAACAAACAGACAAACGCCGGCAAAAAGATAACCTCCTTGGCGGAGGTAATAAAATAAACTGATTTGCAATATATTGAATATACTCCTATTGTGAACAAATGCCTAGGTCGGTTAGGCGGTCTCCTCTGGTCTCTGGTCTCCTCCCTCTCGGGCGCACACGTTTTGCCCTTCGTCAGATATTTAACCCTGTCTCTTCTGCGCTCTGCCAGTCTTGCAGACAACTGCCGATCTGCACACTCGCGGCATATCTGCTGTGGCTCTATGACGATATAGGCTACATCTATTGTTTTTTTTCTTTTTTCTTTTTTTTTTTTTTTACCAACCCAATTGGAGACATGTCGTAGTGGACCTTTCGGAAGATCACGCCATGATTTAGGATTTGTAAGATTTTTTATTTTTTTATGCAGGTAAGAGACGGTGCGTGATCATCTCTGGCGCAGCAACTCTGCAGCTATAAATCCTTTTTTATTTTCTTTTTTTTTTTTTTTTTTTTGCCGTATGGGGGGAAATATGTCTATGTCCTCCTCTGTGTGACATTTCATATTGGGAGAGTCATGGCTGCCTGTTGCATATAATCTCGACTAGGAAATGCGCGTTTATGAATAAAGAAACATCTTCTACTGTAGCTCTATTGATCTGTTATTTTGAGAGATTTTATTTGAAACAGAATTTTAAATGTTGTTTAAAAAGTTAAAGGTACCACAAAGGCCAATAACACGTATTATTAGGCCTCCTACATATGGAGGGTTGATGCCACGTGTAAGTTAGCCTATAAATTATAATAAGAAAATGTAATTCTTTTAATACGATTTGCTAATTGGCTAAACGTTTGGTTTAACAGTCTTAGTTCAAATAGGCTATTAAGACAGTTAATTAGGTCTATGCTCTTGTTAGTATGAGGTCATAGATGTAGACTAATTGTCTCCAAATTGCCCATAGTGGTTTCTATACGAAGCAGGTCATGAAGAGTTCAGGTTTACGCTTACTTTTTTAACACTGGCAAACTGAATCCATGGGAAGGCACACCTGTGGGATTATTTACTACTTTTTATGGATGAAATCAAAGGTTTGCTTGTTTTGCACTGTTTATCTAATGTAATGGTGCAATATCAAGATTCAAAAAATATATATGTGAAATTAACTTGTTTTGGGGGATGAGAAGGTTGTACTGTCCTGGGGTATTCTTGGCTGTCTGGATGTGAATGGAAGCTGTGGCATATGAGATGAAAGGATTACTGATACTTAACCTAATTAAACTGTCTCTTCTGTCCAGACCAGAAGCTCACTCTCATTTTTATATGATTTAAACTATATTATTATGCTAACTGTAACTTTATTGTACTTGTCCACAGTTGAAAGGCACTTAAATGCCATATCCTTAAATCTCTCACAAAATGTTTCTTTTTGTTTTGGCTATACGTATTCTTTCTAATAAAAATATTATTAATTGTACTCATCCAATGTATAGAATTTCAAAGTCAAACCACTTGCTCCGCAGTTGTTAATGAATTACCTTTTTTAAATTCTTTTGTTGATCTATAAATATCCAGATGTGATTTAGATTAGACTAGCTATCATGTAGGCACCTAGTATAGTTGTCCTGCTCTGTAGTGGTTCTTATACTGCACTTATTTCTGCACCAACAGCAGAAAACATGCAGTTGGGTACATATCTGGTATGTGTTTATCTTTGCCACACTGAAGAAGCCCGTGTGTCAGTGTGGGTACTTTAGATGCCAGATGCATATTGCTGAGCTGCATTGTCAGGATGTGTGTAAGCAAAGAGCCTGACACTGACGTGGACAATTACACCAGACTGGTCTGGGGGTCCTCAGAGAAAGCTAGGAATGAAAGACTTCAGTGGTACCTGTATGTCTTTAAATCATGTTTGCTTTATTTTGTATTAATCCTTCCTGCATGCCCTTCTCTTGGCTTCAGTTCTCTGTTTGTCCATGTCTCTTAAAAAGATTTATGAATAATACCCACTCACCTGCACCACTTTTTCCTTCATGTGAACAATGCTCTTTAATTGACTATTGTCTCTATTGCTGTTTTTACAGACAAATGACAAGTCGGCCATATGCAGAGATCAATAACCTTATTGTGCGAAAAAGAAAAAAGCTCACTTCCGGAGGAAGTCAGTGACCTGAAGTGCCTATGGTGGAGTTGCTGTTCTGGAGCTATTATTATTTTTTGGCCTTGAACGGACACTGTTACATTTTTTCTGACTGAAACAGATGCATCCCTTTCACCAATCTGAAGTCATTGCTCTGATTAGACTGCACATGTCCTGTGGATTTTTAATTCCACAACACTAATTGTTGACACTTGTCTTACTGCATCAGATAAAAGGCAATTTGCATAATTCTCAACTTTTTAATGAAATGACTTGGTGCTGGTCTCTAGATCTGTAGGAGTACATACTTTTCCTAACAAGTGTCAAGTGTCTCAAAAAATAAAGCTGTTTGTTGGGATTTTTGCCTGTCTGTGATGGCTGTCAGCATGACCATGGGCAGAGACACCAAATGGCTGACTCTGGAAGTGTGTCGAGAGTTTCAGAGAGGCACCTGTCTGCGATCAGATGCTGAGTGCAAGTTTGCCCACCCCTCTCCCAGCTGCCACGTGGAGAATGGTAGAGTCATTGCCTGCTTTGACTCACTCAAGGTAAGAGTACTTTTACAACATTAACAATCTATTTCATGAATCTAGAACAGCAAGCTATAAATGATATAAATTTACTTTTTATGACTGCTAAAGTATCAAATACTTTTTGTGAGATATATATTTATGTGGCAAGAAAAACCTATTGGTTTAAAATCTCCAACTCCAAGGCCTAACTTGCCTATATATTAATGTGTTTGAATTTATTATTTATCCTTTTTTATTTCTTTTTTGCTCTGTCCATCAGAGCAAGGGGAAAGTGACGGCAAGAAAAAAAAACTGCCTAGCAACAGACCAGAAAAGCATATTCATTGGATAGTCTGATCCTCCCTGAATGACATTGCTGTTTTTAGCACAAAGCAACAACATGATTGTGTGCTGTTGTGACCATGAGAAGAGATGAAATCAAGTGTTCTGCGTGTTTTGTTCTTAAAGCTTAAATAGCTGTTTAGAGGCAGTTAATTTGTTTAGTAATAATTGTGTTTTAAAAAAGACTAGCTTTCTTTGTGTGTGCCCATGCACCTGAGTGAATGTGTGCATGTTTGTGTAGCTCCCATACCCAGGCCCATGCACAGACTGTGTGCTTTTGCCTGTTAATTTGAGTGAAATTTGAAATTACATTTTTCTTTACAATGCCATATTTGTTGTAACATCTGTGCAAAAATTCATAATTATGTACATTTGTAAAACTGTATTGATACGTTTCTAATACATTCATTATTACCTTGTTATTGCTTTCCAAACACAAGGATTAATTTTGATTGCACACAGTTTAATGTGGTTTTAAGTGGTTGAACATATAATGCTTATTAAAATAGCATATCCAGAGCTGTCGCAAGCCATCTGGGTGCCCTACACAGATGCTTTGATGTGCCCCACCCAGGGAGGTGAAAATTTAAATTGAACTTGACTGAATGCTACACCAGGTAGCTACAGTACTGAGCATATCAACTGGATGATGCCTGTTTTTATTTATACAGTAGATGTGTTACATCCGTACCATTACAAATCCATTCACGTGACCATCTTCACTCTCTGACTGGAGTATAGTTTGGATGAAGTGTCCCAGTACATTGCACAGTCTATCTGGAGTTTTTATAAATCTGGTAAAAGGCTTAGGCTTTCTTTTTCCCTCAATAATATTTTCATTTCGGTCTCTGAACTTTTAATAAAGTTAGTTAATTATGTCCAACTTGGTTAGCTTGTATGGGAATTCTCTACTGCTACCACTACCAGTATGGGGCTTGGAGGTGCATGCTGAGATTACATGTCAAAAACTACAGGAGCTCTGTAGGTTTAGTAGCATCACTGCAACCCCTCCCTTTTTGTTAATTGTATGGGAATCTCTTTATAGTCCCACTCAGATCTGAATGTGATGAGTCACCATCTCATATTTGCAACTAAATATTTAAATATATACATCTAGTATAAGCATTGCCTTTTGCCCTTGATTATTTGTACATTCTGGCACACAGCAATAATTCACAATCTCTGAAACTTCCATATACTTTATAAATTATGGATGACATGGTTTGTTGGTTCTTTTACTGCCAACATGGCATTTGGTTGTGCATCTTGGTATTGCACAGCGCTATTTCCTGTGTGTGAAATTTTCAAGGAGTAGTTCCAATAAATAACACTGAGCTACTATTAAAGTTATGCTGGTATCATCAGTATAAAAATATAGATATTTTGATATCGATCCACCCATCACTACCTGGGTGTTAGTTTATGTTTTTCATCAATAAGACACCTATTAAAGTGCCTGAGTATATATATACTGATATACTTAGACCTAGACAGACTTTATTGATCCACAATGGAAATAACTTGGACACAGTAACTCACACATTACAATATATTACAAAAACAAAGAGTAAAAAAAATTGTGTTCTCGTGTCCCTCACTGTCTCCAGCTCTCAGCCAATCACATGAGCAATTTTACGGATCAGTTTATCAAATCACCCAATGTCCCTTTTAGTGTTGATTTATTGCAAGATTTATACAAGATTTTAATTGCAAATAGCTGCTTTTATAACACACTGCATGGCACAAAGAGCTATTTCATGAATCTGTTTAAACCGTTACCCTTTTTGCATGCTGGGACTCAGCAGTGTTAAGTCTGGCGTTCATGACATGCAGTATGTGTAACTTTTTGTCATAAATGTCTTGATGGGTTCACAGGATTCATTCCTCATTACAGGCTCACTGCATGTGGACGACTGTTTGTGTAAGCCTATGCATCATCTTGACCATTTCAGGCCTCAGCATGTTTGCATTTTGTTTAATTTTTTGTGCTTTAGAGCCGCCTCTTCAGTCAGAGCTTGTGCTGCTTTCTCTTTATGACTTCATCTTGTTGCAGCTCCATTTATCACTGAGTCCCACAAAGTAACTTGAACCCAACAGCAGCTAACTAATCCTGTGCCAGATTTTTGGTCACTTTCAGATTTTCTTGTATTTATGAAGTGTGATGTGGCAATGTGCACCTTGCCATTCATGCACATTTGTTTAAATAGCCACCTATTTTTTTCATAGGGACGTTGTATACGAGAAAACTGCAAATACCTACACCCACCTCCGCACCTAAAAACTCAACTGGAAATTAATGGGAGAAACAACTTGATCCAGCAGAAAGCAGCAGCTGCAATGCTGGCTCAACAAATGCAATTCCTACTGCCCGGGGCACAGCTGCCCCCCTTAGTAAGTAGACCAACTTTAAGGATAACTATGAGGTCATATTATGTACTGTTTGTACTGCATATTGTGTTTCAAATATACCTGGGATGTGCTTGCATCGGTAAGGTGCCGAAGCATTTTGGAGTAATAAATTACTGCGCATATTAGCACGTAGCTGCACGTGCACGTCTCTGCAATTGAACTCTTAATCTTTGAATTTTTAAAAAAGTTTATAGAAAAAATTAATGGAAAATGTACTTCTGGAACTGGTGCTCACTGTTGAACTAAATTATATTACATTCGTAGCTTGTTTCATTGTGTACAGTGCTTACGAATGTACCACATTGATTCTTTGTTTTATTTTACTCCCCAGGCTACATTCCCAGTGACGACCAGTCCCACTCTGGCATTCAACCCTTTTTTAAGCCAAATAGCCCCTGGCATGGGCCTAGTACCCGAGCTGCTGCCCAGTGCTCCTCTGCTGGTTCCTGGGAGTCCTACTAGTCTGTCAGCTATTAGTAATGGCACTTTAACACAGAAGCAATCGCGTACAGATAAATTAGAGGTATGACTCCTTTTAACAATTTGCTCCAAATAATATGTAGTCTGTTTGTACAGATATTGTTTTGTTTATGGCAGGTGTGTCGGGAGTTTCAGAGAGGAAACTGTTCACGGGGAGAAGGTGACTGCCGGTATGCACATCCCATGGAGGCCGCCATGGTGGATTGCTGTGAGAACTCAGTCATTGTATGCATGGACTTCATCAAGGGCCGCTGTGGTCGTGACAAGTGCAAATACTTCCACCCTCCTGCTCACCTGCAGGCCAGGATCAAAGCCACACAGCACCAGAGTAGTCAAAACACAGTGAGTCCTGTTCATACAAAAACTGTTATAAAAGGTGGTACTCTGGTCCTAAACTGAGTAAACAAAGGCTCATTCAATTAAATTTTTTCCTAAATAAATAAATCTAGAGTGACCTCTTGTGATTTTCTTATAGAATTACAATACTTTCAGACTTGATGAGTCTTTTGCAGATGAAACTAGATATTATTTTCTGTCCTCTGCCTAGGCTGTGCCTCCAGCATCACTACCAAAAAGGACACTTTCAGAGAAAAGTAATGGATCTGCTACTGCTGTGTTCAGCCCCATGTTTCAGTACCAGCCGACTCTGGCCAACACGCAGCTTCAACAGGCAGCTCTCGTGCCCACCGGTGAGTCACGAACCACCTCAGCTGCAAGGCCACCCACCCCTACTCATTCCACAGGGCCCCCCAGTGGCAGTGCAATCATTGCACATCAGTGCAAGTAACAGCTCAGAAACATTAAAGGTTGTATGGAGGATTTTTTTTTTGTTTTTTTTGTTTCAAGTTGTCAATGATAGCATTATAGAGGTGCAGTAGCCTTGTAATTATGATGACCAAAAAAAAGAGAATAAAAATTCATCAACTCTGGACGTGGTGGGGCCAGCTAAACATTTGCCAATAGATAACGACACGGCCTCGTTATCTGTTAGCTGACAGGCTATCAATCAAACTCCCTACGTTTCTAGCGTAACTGACCTGCCTGCGCGCCGCCGGTACGTGGTTTACGTACGCCTGTCACGCAGTCCACAGACGCAAGACGCACAGACGCTGTTTACTCCACCAATGCAACAGTTCTTAGCGGCTTTTTTTGACCTATATCTTCCTCGCAGTTAGCACAAAGTTTGTTGCAATGGCAGACAAGAATCCAGGAGCAGTTAGCCGCAAAAGAAAGTCCGTTTTTGAGGTCGCTGAAAGAAGAAGACAAGGGGAAAAGCAGCGAAGCCAAACTAAGGTGATTCTTGTAGATTCATTCCAGCGATGGCGCGACTGAAGCAGACGCAGGGTCTAAAGACTGACGCATTGGTCGCCAAATTACTCCTGGACAGGTAACTTCTGCTTATTATGAAAACGTACTTTATTTCCAAGAGCTAGTCAAACGTTTTTCAGGACACGAAAGCGATATCCTATGTCTGAAAACGTAATTTTCAAGGCAAAGAAAGAGTCCGCTTGCTGCTGCGTGTTGTAGCTAGTTCATTCGCACTGAATCTCCGCGCAACCTTCTCTGCTCCCCTTTCCTACTCCTGTCCCCGCTGCCCGTTCCGCTCTTCCCCCTTCTCCTCACTTCTACGGGCACGGAATCTCCGCGCACCGCTCCCCTCTCCTCTCTCCTCTCTCCTCTCTCCCTGCTCCGCTCTTCTCCCTGCTCCTCACTTCTCGTCCGCGAACGAAATGTCCGCACACCCGCTCCCCCCGCTCCTCACTTCTCCGCCTTGCCTAACCAACACTGTAGTTAGTTGTTTACAAGTCATGTGCAGCTCACCGGCTGTAAACAAACCTGTTTCTGGCGTAGTGAGGAGGCGGGAGAAGGCGTTTCTACGTAGGGAGCTGTAGGGGAGGGGGGTGGTTTCACGCATGCGCAACATTTGAAAAAGGACAAACAGTCGCTGGATTTCTCGTTCCTTGGAAAATCCTCTATACAACCTTTAATTGAACAAATCATTTGTTCAATACTTTCATTTTGGCAAACCACAAATTGATGATGATACATTTTCCATTATGTTGTTTCAAAAATGCAAATTTGTTTTCTCCATGCCATAGTATTTCTAGCATTTATTTTAATTATTTGTTATAATTTGTCATAATGTAACATGTACTATATGTCCGTTATGATACAATCTGAGACCATATCAAATGAAGTCTGATTTGATTGTATTGATATTTTCGATTCTGTAATTTATTTTTAGTTGCATGATCTACTTTATGTTTAAGCCTCATGTTGAAAACCATTTGAGAAGCTACACATTTTTCCCATTGTAAACATATCATTCCTGTCCCTCTCGCCAACATTTTCATCCTATTGTCTTCTGTCTGACTGAATCAAAAGTTCCCATGATGCACGGTGCCACCACCACTGTTTCGTCGGCCTCAACCCCTGTCACCAATGTTCCCTTTGCTGAATCTGCTGTCTCCAATCAGGTTTGCTCTTTGATTTCAGAATATTTCAATAATATGTCTTTAAGAGCCGTTCTTTGCTCACATACCATGCTTCGTAACTAAAGATTAATGTTATTATTATCTTTGTTATGCATATTTTTATTATGCAGTGCTTTGATTTAGGGACACACTGAGCCAGCTTTTTTAGTTCAGATATCAATATTGATATTTTGATTTTTAAGTATCTGCCCTGTACCTGATATTAACCGATTCCAATGTAGTGATTGAAAATGACACTTAATTTCTTAAAAGACAATTAACTTACTACACAAGAGATCCAATTTGTTATGCAACAGTGATTTGTCCTTCACATCACTACAGAACAGGCAGCTTTGTATAAATAAAAATTCAAACATTATGAGACATTCCATTTTGTTACAGCCAATTAAAGGCCCAACTAGGATATTAACAGATATCATGGAACTGATACCCCATCCAGCTAATTTTTGAGTATGTGTGCCAGTAATCAATACCAGTAATGGTATCATTCATCCTTAGTTTTATTAACAACTTCCAATGACATTTTAAAGGTATGGCCTGAGACCAGAAGCACAGTACAGGAAGCCCATTCTGGAGTACATTTTTTCTTAATTCAACTACAGTTTTGAATTTTTCATTTCATGAGAAAAAAGGGCACCTCTGTCTGTGTGATTGGTCATATATGTTACCTGCCCTCATATCCCCTGCGGGGATAATATACACAAATTCATATACAAATATACGCAACAGAATACTTTTTTTTTTTTTTTGTTTTGCAGTAGACTCTCTGGACGTGATCAATCCAGAGCCCATGGAGCTGCAGTGTGTATCTTTGGATTCCCATTTCTGTCCCCTGCCCAAACTGCTGGTGGCCACCCCAGTCACACTTAACCCAGTCAGCCTCCCCTGAATACCTGCTCCTGGACACCATATGCCCTTGAGATCCTGCTTCAGCCGGACTAAGTCATAAAATGTACTCACTCTCAAAGCCTGAACGTACTTCACTGCAGCCATAGTGATGCAAACAAACTTGAAAATCATGAGCAATAGAGCTCTTTTGTTACAGCCATAGCATACCTAATGATTGAAAAATTTAGATTTTAGTGAGACTACATGCTCTTTTTTTTTGCCAGTATGGCTACTCTTACATTTGACTGTGTATCACCAGAAGAATACATTACATGTAATTACTTACATGCATAATATCTATTATAATAATAGTTTTACTGATATAAATAAACAGTAGTAAATTTATAGTATTAAATGTTGATAATACATAACTGAATAAAAACTGACACTAATTATGTCTTGGTGTGTCACTGAGACAGATGTGTTTCTATTTGTGTTGAAATATACTGTTATATGCCACGTGAGAGTTTAGACACTAGTGATGGATTAGCTTGGAATTTAAGAAAGAAGTTCAATATTTATATATGGCTAATCAGGGACTACATTTTAAGTTTGTAAATTTGTTTTAATTTTTTCACCAGTAGGGAGCAAATGTAAACCCCCTTCCCTCACCTGGTCTTTGTCCAGGCTCACCTGTGCTTTCTGGTCTTCTTCGGACACTATCAGACAGCAGTAACATAGATAGCATCTATGGATGTGAGAATACAATGGGGCTGGGTCAGCCAATCTCTTTACAAATAGACTAAAACTAAAACAACTAAAAGGCTTGGCTGTATTCATGAAATGTTGATTTTTAATGTCATAAGTCACTGGACTCTAAATGCCACTCTTCAATGTGAAAAGTACTGTGTAGGTCATATAAAGTGATGACTCCTTTGTTCAGTTCAGTCATATATCAGTATTCTTATTTAGATATTGCATATTTCCAAAAATATTTATATTATGCCTTTTATTTAACTCCTACCACCCCTACTAAAGACATTAGTGTGCTGTGAATGTATCTGCATAAACTACAAAAACTACATATCTTAATTTTGATAGTTGTAATTATATTAAAAAAAAACAAAAAACAAAAACAATAAAAAATCAACTGTACGACTGTATTAAAATTGGCCATTTTGTATATCCAGATATGTTGTCAACGTCCTCAAATCAAATTAATATTTTTCAAGTGTTTTTGTGTTTGGTCTAGACTCAGAAAACAATCAGGGTTAATTTATGTACGTGATATGAAGGCCATCCTAGGCTCTTTTGAGATTTTATTGCCCTTAAATCAGTTTCAATTATTACCTTTAAATATTTCAATTTGAAGAGCTGGCCTTGTTGGTTTCATTTTAAAAATAGCTTTAAAATCTTTATACATTTATAGTTGTTTGTGAAGATGAATGAAAAAAAGTTTAGTAATGTACTTTGTATACAATAATGGAGATGATCATTAAGTTGCAGTTTGCTGCCAATAAAATGACAACATAACTACTTTCTAAAATCAACTTGAACTTCCACATGAAAATAAAGGGAATGCCCATGCACAGTGTACCTGACTGTAATTTGTAATCCAAATGTCTTTCCTAGGTTTCTTTGGTTTTTGTTTTGTTTTGTTTTTGTTTCTGTTTTTAGGTGTGTGTGTGTTTTTTTTCTGTTGGATTTGATTAAATAAAGTTTAAATTTTAAATGCACATTTAAGTTAGTGAATTTAAGTTTGGCATTTGCTGTTGGTCAAATGTTTATGTTCAGTAGTATTTATACCTTATTTGATTTGGACTTTGAGTTTTTGTGGAGATTGCCTGCCCAGCTGTGCTGGGTGATATTGAACAATACTGAACTAATGAATGTGATGTTCGCATTATTTGCACTTGTACACAGTGAAGTTCCCCCGAACTTAGTCTGAATAAAACTTCACATGTTACCATAAAAGAAATCACTGCATATTTTGAAACAATTTCTGCCTGAATCATTTGCCAAGTATTTCCCTACTTAGGCTACAGCTGTATTCAATTTTTCTGTCATCCAAAAGTTGTTAATTACATTTTAGGTGGGTGTACTATCGCAAGACCAATAGAAAATCTTATGACATTTTTTCACAAAAAATTTGATAGATGCACAAGTTTAGTTGTATCCAATTTCCTTTGTGTTGTCACTCAAAACCTTTCAACATCTTTAATTGTTTTCCAGGATTTTAGTTGATGTTTTGGTATGTATTAGTAGAGGGGGTCAAGAACTGCCTGAAACAAGCCATAGCAAAAGGTCAAAGACAGACAGGACTCCTGTGATGGTTTTTATGAGCACTCTGCTTTGTAGTTGTTTGTGCTATGGGGCTACATGTGAATTTATTTACAATGTAATGCTGTGCTTTAACTGTGTATGAATTCCAGGGTATCTACAATAAAACATACAAACAGGAAGTTGCAACCCACCTGTCATTTAAAATTGTATCACACTGATAGTCTAAGTAAAATGTTTTGCGTGTTTTTTATTTGTCTAATTCTTAAATTAAATAGTTCCTAATACTTAAAAAGAGTGTTTTTTTTTTTTGTCAAAACAATTTAAAATTGAAATTTAAAAAAAACACTCTACATACTCTAAACAATGTATTTATGTAGCACATTTAAAATAACAGAACTTTCACCAAAGTGCTTTACAAATCACAACAAATATAATCAGTTGTAAAACACACACACATATATATGTATACACACACACACACACACACAATGTACACACATAAGTGTGTACATTTATTTAAAAGACATATTCAAAGCTGTTTCCTAACTGTTTAAATTAATACACATGTTCCGTGACATACCGTGTAAGAGAAAAAGCGTTTATAAGCAATGGATGCATAATAATAGCACCTTACATGACTGACAAGTTCGTGTTTACAAGGAGGAAAAAAAGACCGGATGTTTAACCTTAGTTAGCGGAAGTAAGCTGCTAGCCATCGGTAGCGCGTTTTCTGTGAGCAGAACCAGACCCAGAGGGGTCGAGTTAAATAGTATGGATCCATTGTCCCCCTGATTGTTAGCTTTCAGTCGACGTCTGATATGTTAATAGGGGATCGAGATGATTTTTTGACCGTTCGTAGTCAGACAAGAGTGGACAACACTGCGTGGTGGACACCGGTGCGAGGAGGTTTCGAGTCGGCATAACCTATGCAGAGCAATCGGCATGTACTTCACCTCACAAGTACCAGTTAAGCTTACGAGGTTTACGTCTGTAAAGACGTACGCGATTGTTTCCTGAAACGCCCGATAAGGCCTGAGCTCAAAGTATGGCTTTTTGTCAAATTAGCCTAAAAAGTGCTAGCATTATCAGAAGCTAACAGTGGGGTAATCGGGAAACAACTTTTACTCGCTTTCGGCAAACTGAACAAAAAGCAACAATGGGCACAGACTTGATTTAAATTTACACCAAATCGTTTAATAGAATACGATTTTCACCTTAGGCCAGGTATGATTTTCAGGCGACCATAACAGACCGGCTAAGGCGTTTGCTGTGAAATTAGCCCGACCCTGTCGCCCAAATGAAGGAGTATAAAGTTGTGGTTCTGGGAAGCGGCGGAGTGGGGAAGTCCGCTCTCACTGTTCAGTTTGTGACCGGAACATTCATTGAAAAATATGATCCTACCATTGAGGACTTCTATCGAAAAGAGATTGAGGTGGACTCCTCGCCATCTGTTCTTGAAATTCTTGACACCGCAGGCACAGAGCAGTTTGCTTCCATGAGAGATCTGTATATAAAAAATGGCCAAGGCTTCATCCTGGTGTATAGTCTGGTCAACCAGCAGTCTTTCCAGGTAAACTAAATGTACAGAAAGGCATTGAAGCATTGATTGTTGTTATTTTAACTGTACACAATAGACCTGTGCCTGACTTATAAAAAATATACTTTTTAATTATTAAGATAAAAACTGCTAATTTGATTCTGTATTTTTCAGGATATCAGACCAATGCGGGACCAAATAGTTCGAGTAAAGCGCTTTGAAAAGGTGCCACTCATCCTGGTTGGAAACAAAGTTGATCTAGAGTCTGAACGAGAAGTATCTGGATCTGATGGAAGAGCTCTGGCTCAAGAGTGGGGCTGTCCTTTTATTGAAACTTCTGCAAAAAGTAAAACGATGGTGGATGAGTTGTTTGCTGAGATAGTCAGACAAATGAATTATTCTTCTTTGCCTGAAAAGCAGGAACAGTGCTGCACAGCCTGTGTGGTGCAATAAAACTGCAAGGTAATCTTTCTGTTTGATTTGGGTAAAAACATGTGTTTGTAATTTAAAGGAACACAACACTATTTAACTTTTCTGGTGGGGAGGTCCAGTATGCACCATACTGGGCTTTGTGTACGGGTTCACCTCTCCATAGATCTGATCTCTATGCCTGGTAAATAACAACTCCATGGAGGCAAGCTGAAAAGTTACATAGTGCTCCTTTTTAAAGGCCTATATTATGCATTTGGGATTTTTCAAACTTCTTTGGACACCGTAGCCTTAGTATTACTTAAATTAAGTATAATTGTAATCTATGTATAATGAGAATACTAGTATGTTATGAAATGTTGGTTCATTTCAAAAACACCAGCAGATGGAGCTAGATGCAACCAAAAATGTATCTGTTTGTAATGAGCTAAAACAAGCAAGAAATAATAACACCAAGTAGTATGCTGAGAGAAGAGGTGTTCAATATGGAGATGTGAATCAGGGGCTCTCTGCTCTTGAGTGAACCATTGCTGTGGTTCGTTGTATATAAGAAGCAGAAGTGAAAGCCGTCCCGTTTGAAAGTTATACACCCTACGTATAAATTTTGTGTATTGAAATTTTGATCTGAATTTTGATAAACTGGCAATGCTGGGCTTTTACTATGTTATTCATGTAAAATATGTTCAAATGATGTTTTTTTTTTTCTTTTGTCCCCAATAGAATTACCTTTATCTGGATTACCACAAGCAATTGATGAACCATGAATCTGGACACAACCTTTCCTTTTCTGCCAACAAAGTTTTTTTTCTCATGCTTTTGTCACAAAGCTTCTCCAAGAAAATTTAAATGTTGGCGCTATTTTTGATAATGTAGTTCTATGAACAGTTTTGCTGCATATGTAAGAGCATTGACACAAGATGGAGCATCTGTTTTTTGTTTTTATCAGTGATAAATGTAGGTAACAAGCAGACAGTGTTTGTGTGGTAGCAGCTTCTTTTAAAGCTGCTTTATTCACAACTATTATAATTATTACATATGTTATGACTAAAGGTATTTCAGTTTAATGTAACATTTTCATTATTAAGCGTGCATTTAGTTTTAGTTATGGGGGTTTCTCCTGTGATCTTGAACAAATTCTATTTTTATTCCCAACTTTGTAAAAAAAACAACAACAAAAAAACAAACAAACAAACAAAAAAAAGGAAATCTTAAAAACAAACTATGCATGCTAAAATAAAAATGTTGCATTAACTTTTAAGTGGCAATGGAGAGCTGTTGTAATTTTTTGGCAGATTTTTTTTGTTGGTCAGTTTAACATTTATTCTCTGCGAGGCATGCGTGTTGTGTACGCTAGTCCTCTGTTGTCAGTGAAAGGGTGAAGCGCATCATGTTGCATTGTTTTTATGATGTGTGTTGCTTTGAAATACGAAAACTTGTTATATTTGTCACATAACTTTGACAGAATTAAGGCAAAACTATTTAACTCAACCCAGTAGTCCAAACAGACTCCCTATGAGCCAGGCAGACTTTAGAGGGTTGAGTAAAGTTATTTAGTGTTGCTTTAATTTTTTAACCTTGTTCTATTATAGTGACCTATTTATTGAACTAATAATACAGTTAGGCTGTTTTTAACTTTTTATTTTATGTTGGGTTTTTTTTTTGTTTTTTTTGTGAAAAGATGTATTGTTTTACTGAAGCTGATATTTTAACAGAGCCTTAATTTCTGTTGCACACTGGCGTTTTGTGTCTTTAATTTAGCATTGATTCAACATTTCTGTCAAAGTCCACAATGCCCTAAATAAGATGATGTATCAAGGAATTATAATAATGCCTTACACTTGTTCTGTGCTTTACAAGCGCAACAAAGCCTATGAAGCCTAAGAGTTTTATAAAAAGTTTATAAGCTCAAACACTACCATAAAAAAACAACAGCAGGTAGGATAAAATGTTGGCTTGATATGTCAGGTTCATGCTCCACACTGATTGTTCATTTATCTTCACCATATGAGGTTTCACACAACACTGACCTCTGATTCTGCATGTGCACCTTTTTGGGACCTTTTACCACCTATTTCCTTGATATCGTCGTATAAAATAGCTTATGTTATGGGAAGTTTACTTAAAAGAAAGGATACGAAAATAGGCCCATTTAGTTATTTGACGACTGATTTGAAGTGTAGTTTAAGAGCGTCGCCTCTAGTTGGCGACACTGCAGGAACAGTCCTATGACGCACGCGGATGCAAGTTTGTTTGGGTTTAGCTCCATGATTTAGCTAGCATTAGCTTCACAGATTAAGGGCAAAGAGTTATTTGACAATGATCTGATGTAAACTGTTGGTCAGTTTTTATCTCGTTCGAACATGAAAACCGTGTTTGTGACTGTAGGCACCACCAGTTTTGACGAGCTCATTGAAGCCATCATCAGCCCGGCTGTTGTGGAGGTGAGGAGAAAACTCATGTTCCCTGCTATAGCAATGTATTCAAAGATTTCTGAACTCGTAAAACGCCAAGGTGGGAGAGAGGCTCACAGAGGTATATAGAGATCAGGAATTAAAATGGATAAAATAAGTCTCTAACAAAGGTTTTTTGAAAGAGGTAGATGTGGGGAGGATAGCCTGACCCCCCACAGTGAAGGGGCAGCGGCCTGAAACTTCAGGTTTTGGGACCTATCGAATCAAGGACCGCAGGACGCGTCCAGACCATGGAGCTAAGATTTGATCATTCTTACATGGTCCACATGGGTGTCAGAAGGTCCAGGATAGTGTGGGTGGGGTCTGTACTTGAAATGCTTTAAAAGTAATTGCACAATTTTTGATATTCCAGTTCCAAATACATAAAGACTTTTAACTATAATGTATGAAAGTGTTTTTGTGTTGACAAGATCATGCTTTGATTTATGTAGGTTCTGAAAGACCGTGGATATGAGAAGCTGATTCTTCAAGTTGGAAGAGGTACTATTTTTCCAACTCCTGAGACCTGTGCGCAGATCTCTCTGGAGACCTTTCGTTATAAGGATTCAATCGCTGATGATATCAAGAACGCTCATCTCATCATCAGTCATGCAGGTAATACGGAAAATGTATGTATGATACAGGTGCATCAGGGTATTGACAGTAAGAACATTTTTGAAACATGTTTCATGCAGTTCATTGTTTCACTGTTTTCAGGAAAATGCTTGTTTTCTCTCTCAGGTGCAGGGAGTTGCTTGGAGGCACTCAGTGCTGGCAAGCCTCTGCTAGTTGTTGTCAATGACAAACTGATGAACAACCACCAACTGGAATTGGCCAAACAGTTGCACTCTGACTCCCATTTACTGTACTGCACATGCAGGTCTGTGACTCTACACACACCAAAAGGATATTTACAAAAATGCACTTTTCACATTATTTCTCCTCTCTTTCAGCACCCTGACAGCAACACTGAAGACCATGGATATCTCTGTCCTTCAGCCTTTTTTGCTTGGACAACCTCAAAACTTTGCAAACTTTTTAGACAAAGCTCTGGGAATAAAATGAGATCTCTGCCATTATACTGACAGACATCTACCCAAACTTCAAAATTGCTACAAAGTTTGAATCTGAAGGTCTGCTACCTGCAAGCCAGCATGGACATGTCACAGTATGGCATTAGACTGACACCACCATTGTTTCCATTTCCATTTTTCTAGGTCTTTCGATGCATACACAACCAAACATGCACTGTAGAGTAATTTCACATAAACTAGATTAATTTTATTATTTTGACAAAAATAATTGACAATTGCAATGCTTTGACAATTTTCTTTGAATCTTTTCTAAGTATGAGTTCTAAAATGTCAAACATAAACCTCTGTCTCTTTTTTCATACCCAAGGATAAAGAAACAACTTATGTGAAATAAATCTTCTGTATTAATAAAATAATGCAGTGTTTGCGCAATAACTAATTTATTTCTAAATTTAACTTTTGCAAAACTACATTATAGATGTTTTTAGCAGATTGTGTACAGTTGTCTGTTGTGCTATGCTTTGTTTCAAATATCTGGTTTTTACTTGCCATGCTTGAGGTTCACATAATGTTTGTGCAGACTAGAGCATGTGAATCTAATACAGTTTAATAGTGTTATGCTCTCAGGCAAGTTTTTTTTCTTCTTCTGTAAGAATACTGTATTTTACAGAAATCATCTTCATCTAATGTACATTAAAAAGTCAGCAAAACCACCACTACTTAAACAGCTGGTGTAATATTATTTTCCATTACTGGTGCTCTCAGGTGAGAAATTTGGCATATGATTTATTTTTTATGCCAACTACATGTATTCATTATCTTATGTTAACTTCAAAGTGGAGCAACATTTTTTTTTTATCTGATGAGTTAATTTCTTTCATTGTTGCTGGTATAACAAGGACATCACAGACAAGATTTCTTGCGGTCAGTGCAGTGTGTCGAAGCATGTGTGGAATGGGTCTGTCAATATTGCCATATGCTTATTTCTATGAAACGTGTTACTCTATAGCAGGGGTGTCAAACTCAAATTCACAGAGGACCAAAATTAAAAACTGGGACTATGTTGTGGACCAAACTAAATATTTATTGAAAAATTTCAACAACATCTGCATGTTTTCTCTTCTTTCGAGATATGTAATGTTAAACCTTTTCTTATTCAAATAAATGTTGAATAATAGTTTTGCTTAAACACTGAATCCAGAACAAGCATAATATAAAATAATAACATTTTAAATAAATAATGTCTCTATAGCCTATCTGTAGTTGGCAGGCCAGCTCTAATAAATATTTCATATGATCTCGCGGGCCAAATATAATTTTATGGCGGGCCAAATTTGGCCCCCGGAACTGAGTTTGACATGTCTGCTCTATAGCTTAAAGAAGATAGATGCTTTTACCAAAAATTTTGTATTAGACTCTGCCATATGTAGCTCATTATGTTACATTTTGTTCTTTGTATACCATTGATCTTAAACTGCATAATAGAAACTAGTTCTTTGACTTTGTTAAAAGCTGCTGAACTGACATATCCCACCCTCTGTGTTTTTCACTCTAGAAAGCAGCAAATTTTCATCAGCATGTATTTATTGTTAAAATATATTTACTGCTGGAATCAGTCAAATGTAACTCAGCATAAGCTAATGAGGGAACACAATTATAAAATGTTAAAGCTCACATTTTAGTCCATTTCATAGTCAGTCAGTCAGTTAATAATATTGTGGCACAATGGCAAGCATGTTGGCTGTCTCCTAATCATCTGTTCTATGAAGTAGACCAATGGTGGAAGGTAACGAAGCACAAAAGTAAAAGTACAATACTTGAGTACACATTTTAGGTATCTGTACGTTACTTAAGTCAGTTTTACAGTGATGCATTTTACTTTTACGTCACTACTTTTGAGAGCAGGCATCTGTACTTTCTACTCCGCTACAGTTTAGATCTGGACCGATCTAAACTGTAGTAAAAAGTACTTTTCTTTATGGTTGGGGACCTGCTGAAATGACTGAGACTTTTTAACACATTTAATTTTTTAGTTGAGTTTCTGTCCCAACTTTGAGCAAACCCAATACACAAAAACAGCTAGAACAATTTTGAAACTAAGTGGATCACTTAAGAATCACTTACAGCAAAATACCTTTAGTTTTTAGTCTTTAAGTACATTTTAAACAGGTACTTTAATACTTTTACTTACTTTTTGTCCCCGTATGTGACTTAAGCAACAAAACTGAGTGCTTCATCCACCACTGTAGTAGACAAATTTTTTGTTATCTACTCATTAGGCAGTGTTGGTGTGTGTTCTGCCATTGGTCTCTGCCTGTTGTTTGCAGATGTTCATTAGCATTTGGATGTAACCTCGGGCTCCAGCTCCGCCCCTGAGCTGTGATTGGACGCACTGTTACTGGAGCTGTCAGCCCAGGCAGGGGAAGCTTTTCTCCGCTGCTTCTGACCGGACCTCCGCTGCTGCCCGTCTCACTCGCAGCGGCAGTGAGCAGTCTTTTTTTTTTTTTTTTTTTTGCCTTTGTTCGCTGGCCTGAAGTCACCAAGGAAAGTACAAAGCTGCCTCCATGAAATAGCACACTTTCTGAAAAATGATCATCTGTACGAATAAAATGGAGTACCCCTTAAGAGCTCAGTGCCAGCGAGTACAAAAACAGGTAGGTTTACGGAGCTAATGCTAAAATAAGTTCTTCACAATTAATGCTAACAGCTAACTTAGTGCCATTTCATTCATTTGAATTATTTCACAGCGAACAAACACAAGAGGTGTTGCAACTTAATATTTTCACTTTATTTATTATATTTGTAAATACTTTTTTAATACAAAAAAGACATACTACTGACTTGTTATTACGTAAACTTAAAATTTTATCTCAAAAGTTACCTTTGGTTTCTTTTTTCATTTTTAGGACGAAGTGTAGTAAGCACCCATTGAGTGCTAATAGTTTTATTTAAGTATTTTACACCTCTATAACCAATCTTTGGGACTGCAGTTTCATTTTTACAATACTTAACCACGCAGATCTTGTTAATTTGTGAGTATTTCTGAATATTTTATAAACCAACTTTAATCTACAAGCACCCAACAACTCTTAACATGTTTTTTTTATGATATTTCTATCCAGCAAAATCTCTATGAACTATTACAGTGGTCTGGATAAGCAAAGAGCAGTAAATGAGCTGTAAATTGAAAATACTCTTTATGGACAAATCAAAAGTTTTTTTTTATTAAAATGCACAACATGGGCTAAGGGTTATTGCCAATGACATCATCAGGATTTGGGAGAAAGGTGTCTGAAGTAATGCAGTACCATTGCTGACCATTAAATAGAAACATGAACGACTCTTGTGGCTGTTACGTAGTTGATGCTTCATTACATCTCCTGACCTTAAATAACGGTATTGTCAAAAAGCACTATTTCTGCATATAGAAGGCATTCAAGTGACTTACAGGGAGCTGGTTTGTTGGTTGAATTGGGCTGCCAATCAAAGTTGTTTTTCTCCTCTGTGACTGCTTTTCATTTTATAGCAGACAGGGGGCGCCAATTTAAACATAGGCTGCATATTTCGAGTCTATAGAACTGGAGCACGACACAAAGAACCAGGATCATGTCTTTAATTTGTGTTTTTACATGTATCTTAGTTATTATGTTTTAAGTAATGCGCATGTATGTAGTTACAGAGTTTCTATTGAGTAGTTATCGCCATACAGGCACTGTACTTTGCCAATAAATGCCCTTGGCTTGTTTTGTACATAACATGAAGTGATTATGCTCATTAGTTAGTCAGTCATGTTCTGTGTAACCTCACCCATGCACAGCTCTACCTGCATGCCACATTTCCACTGGATCTAATGCTGTTTGCATCTAACTTTATGTGGGTCTTTCCTTTTTGTTTTGTAACCTGCATACTTGTTTGTATTGCTCTATGCGCACAAGTCCTACCCAGGCAACAACACCCATCCTGCTCTTTCCTTGCTCCTCACCAAAACTCTTTGGGTTGCTGGTTTGTTTTGCACAGCTCACAGAGTTCAGGTTACAGGGAGCCAAAATCCGAGTGCTGCTTGTTTATGTCCAGTGGGTTGTTTGGTGAGAGATGGGGGTGTGGCATATGATAAGGATAGACCCTATCCCAGCTTGAATGTCCCCCTCCTCTCTCCACTCTACGTGCACATGAACACAGCACCCCTCAAATGGACTCTTTTTTAGTCTTGCTCTCTGGAAGCTCCTATGCTGCTGCTGTGTTGTAAGTCAACCAGTTGTCAATGGCTGTCTTTGTCTGTCTGTACCTTTCCTCCCCGCTCTTACGTCACATTTTTGTTTTGTTTTCTCTGTTTCTCTACTGATCATAAACAACTATTCTAACAACTAACTAGTGTCCCTGCAGATCATGTGCACCGGTAAATGAGTGCTTTACCACTTCTTGTTGGTCATTTGAATTCTAGCTTTTGAATATACAACACTTGTTATTGACAATCTGAAGCCCATACCTTTACACTCAAATAAAATGACTGTATTAATTGTAGCTCCACATACTGTTACTGCTGAAATTATGTCTTTACTTTGCAGTGTACATCCGCCCACACTGTGTTACCGGCTTTTTCTTTTCTTGAGCTTGTGTTTATCAGGTGGGCGGACGCACAGAGCAATATAGAAAGTGACTGTAAACTAATGTTCTTTGAAGCTGTCTGTTTTCAGAACATCCTATATTGTTCCTTTGGTCAGTATCAATATAAGGGCAGACATAAGACATTTTATGTTTTAGCCAGTAAATTACAATATTTCATAATTGGATAGGTACATTTGTTAAAGCAAATGCCATTTCACTAGACACACATGCCACAGCAATTGTTTAAGTTTATTTGGGCTTTATTTTGTTTACATTACCTACATATATTAGATATATGCAATGAAGATATTTATTGATGGATGATATAAAGATAGGATGAAGTGGAGATGGCTGGGTAGAGAGCCGATACAGGATGAGGTGGGAGGATGGGGTCGAGATAGCAGAGACAAACTGTTGGTCACATATGCAGCAGTGGTTGAGCTGTGGTTCCCCAGAGAAGGGAAGGAGGCTGAGATGTTGTCCTGCTCCTCAATCACAGTCAGTCATATTAACTCCATTTAACCCAACATGTGTCAAATTTTCTTCTTCAAAGTCTTAAATCTGCTCCAAACCACATGCTTTTACTGCTATACAATTGGCTGTAGAGCTTTTAAAAATCTGAGGCATATCATTGACGATTACATGTTATTGAGTAATTTTGAGCTGGCTATTTGCTGGCTATTTATTTATTCGTTCAGTCATTTATTTATCTTGAAAAACTAACCACTCTGAACAGATATTGGTGTGTCATTTCCTGATGTAGGATAAACTGTAGTTCCTGTTTGAGTTTGGATGGTTTCTGTTGCAGTTTTCACAGTTTCCACACTGCTGGCACAAACTCTTGCATTGCCCTGATAAAGTTGATCCAGAAGGATACTGTTATTCTGTGATATCTCCGCACCCAAATGTAATAATAATTTAAAGGTGCACTATGTAACCTTTCTACTGGACGGTGTGCCAACTGCTTGTCTCAAGGGAGATGTTACTGCTTTGCCCAAAATGTTCCAGAGTATAGCATTAAAAAGATCTAGCACTTAAGCCTGTCACAATAACTAATTTTGAAGTGCAATTTACTGCTGAAGTAAATACAGACAATAAACAAAAACACTTACATTAATTTATGTCACTGACAAAATAACCCAAGAGCAGATTTAAACCACAAAAACTATTCTAGATGTACAATATTGTTAACAAATCATGGGCTGCAATAAATAAATAGCAGAATTAAACACCCAAAAATATAAAAAATGTTCTCTGCAGTGCAAAGAAAATGGATGCATGATAAATATTAACCCACCCCAAATTACAGCTTTCATATATTGAACGATGAGTCGATATAGTAATTATCGTGACAGGCCTAATAGCACTGTAGAGACAAACAGCTGACACAACTAGGCCAAGTTGCAGATCAAATCAGTTCTTCAAGGTATGTTTAAGCAATAAAACACCTGTAATGGAATAAATGTAATATGGAAACATTTCATGCCACATTTTGAAACCTACCTGGAAAATCAATAATATCTCATACAAATGTGTTTCGTTTTTATTATTGTTTATCTATTTAATTATTAATTTGTTTTATTATTTAATCTAACCTAAATTATCAGATATTGCATAGGACTGATATCTTTTCCTTCTGTAGCAAGTTGGAGCTTGATGCTATAGTGCCCTAGATTGTTATGTACTTGTCTTTGCAGCAGTAGGACTGAGTGTGATTGGCAGACACCTGTGTTTTACATGTCTTTCACTTTATCCTAAGTGGGTCGACGCACAACTGGGGTCATTGCTTGTGTACATCTTGCTCTACATGCTAATGTCTTTTCCCTCTCTGTGAGTCTCTAAGGTTTGTTTTGTTTAAGAGTGATTTGTGACACACTGACTGAAGTAGGCATTACTGGTGGATTTGAATGGACTGTATTTAGGTCAAGAGGTGGAGCCCAAACCCAGATCAGGGGGAGCTCTTGATTGCCGTAGGCTGTAGGGGCATAAACTGTGACATAAGTACAGTACAGTTGTACATTACTCAGACATTACCCTTTTAAAAAATGGTATAAGTACTACTACTGAGGACATTTCTTTTTGTCCATGATATGCTTGTGTCTTTTTAATCAAGAGGTTAAAGAAGGTAAAAAAAAAAAAGTGATTTAGAGCAGAGTTCAGACTTTGGAGAAGAAGAAGAAGAAATTTGAGAATATTTTTGTAAATGATACTACAAGTCTATGTTTTGTATGTACGTGTTTTATTTATTTTCTAAGTAATTGGATTGAAAATGTAAATCTATCAATATGAAGAAACATATTATATGATTTTTGTTGTCATATTACCCAGTCCTAGTTCTGGTTAATGAAAAACTTTAATCAGTAAATATGTTCAATTAATGCCTGGGCCTGGGCATTTTTGTGACCTTGACCTGTTTTAAATCGGCCTCCTGCAAGAACAATTATTGTAAAATCATGATAGATCACAGTAAGTGATGTTTTACAGAAATGTGCTTATGAGCATTTGTTACACCAATGATCACATTGGTCCGGCCCTCCGCCTCATGCCTGGAATTTTATAAGGCTCTCAGGAAAAAAATATTGTCCAAAATTTTTTTGTTTTATTTTTGGGGGGGGGGTTGTATTTTTTTGGGCAACAGTGTTAAATGCTTACGGCTGCTGCAAAGCCTCTGTCTTCAAGACCTCTACATGTTTATGCCATTTTTTCATCTGTTCTCATGCCGTTGCATAAGTTGCAAGAGCAGTGCATGCATATTTTAGTTGCAATTGTGTGTGCCCCTTAGTGTCAGAGTATGTAGTAGTATGGTGTGATTGTTTACAGGTGATGGTAAATGGTGAGAAGGAGCGGGTGACGCTGCTGTTCATGAAGCTGGCCAATAGGGGCAGCGTGGACACTGTGGCTCAGCAGATGGCCGCTCACCCTCAGTATCTGGAGAGCTTCTTGCGTACACAGCACTACATCCTGCACATGGACGGCCCACTGCCTCTGCCCTACCGACATTACATCGCCATCATGGTCCGTGAATAGAACATGAAGAACTAGTTTAGTTTCATGGCTATACATGTTTGTACTTACCTTGTGTGTCTCTAATTTAGGCAGCAGCTCGACATCACTGTAACTACCTGGTGCACCTGCACTCAGCCCAGTTCCTGAAGGTCGGAGGGGACCCTCTGTGGCTGCACGACCTACAGGCTGCTCCAGCTCGGCTGCGCCTTCTGGACCAGATCAACAAAGTCCTGGCGCACCAACCATGGCTTACATCCTGTGCACACATCCAGGTACATGTCTGAGACTGTTGTCCCAAATGAAAGTACTTTTGAAAAAAATTTTGCCCTGTAATCCTCTCTGTTGTCCAGGCACTGCTGAAGTCCGGTGAGCAGTGCTGGTCTCTGGCTGAGCTGGTGCAGGCTGTGGTGATCCTGGCCCATTGTCATTCACTTTGTTGCTTTGTGTTCGGGTCTGACGCCGAGTCAAACTGTGCCTCATTCTCCAAATCTCCCAGCGGTACATCGCCAAAGTACTGCTCTTTTGATGCTGCGAACGGCAACACCAATGTGCCTCCGTCTGTGACCCCGCCCCCTGACCTCATAACACACCGGAGGGTAACGAGAGCCTTCTTCAACTCATGTGTCTAACTATTAAATTTTATAACCTAGTATATACTAGTAACAATGTGTAACAACTGGTAATTTAAACAGTATTTTGCCTCTTCTTAGTCTCTAGACTCCAGCAGTGACATGACAGGTTTAAAGGAGAGGATTCAGAAGTCTCAGGAGGAGTGTGAGAAGAGAGAGGAGCGGCTGATGCAAACACAAGCTCTCCATCAAACTGGTGAGTAAAAACATTGGCTCAGAACTGGACTCAAACAGATAGAGCATTACTCACATTATGTACACTGAGTGAATGACCTTCATAGACTAAACTTTTTGACACTTACTTTATCTTCTGTTAGACCTGGAAGAAGAAGATGAGGTGATCTGCTTCACAGACTCATCCCGTTTTATCACAGACCCTGACTTCTGCTATCAGGAGTTTGCCTGGCGAGACGACGACCACTTTCAAGTCTTCAGAGTTCAGGTCCAAACTCTTTACATGATAACATGTTTGAAGTCATCTTTCATATAAAGTTGTCCTCTAACTCAAATGACTTTATTTAATTGAAATGTGTTCTGTTTCCTGGTTTTGCAGGACTATTCATGGGAGGACCATGGCTTCTCATTGGTTAATCGGTTGTATTCAGACATTGGACACCTTCTGGATGATCGATTTCGAAGTGTGGCCACTCTCCCCTCTTTGCTCAGTCATGACCTGAGAAGGGCAATCTGGAATTACACACATTGTGTATTAGGAATACGGTGAGTGTAACCTCAAGAGGCTGAATACAGTTTTGGTCTTTTATCCAGTAAACCTTTTGTGTACATTTGTGGTTGAAGGTATGATGATTATGATTATGGAGAGGTGAACCATCTTTTGGAGAGAGACTTCAAGTTCTACATCAAAGCAGTGGCTTGTTTTCCGGACACCACCAAGACCTCAGTGTGCCTGCTCAGTTGGACCTCACTAAAACCTCCAGAACGGGTACGAAAACGTATTAGTCTCACAAAGGAGAGTATGATATGTGGAAACTTGAGAGTTTTACAAACATTTCTTTTAAAAGGAAATTAAATTATGAATCTTAAACTTTTACTGCTATTACATTACATCATACCTTTTATACAGCAATAGTTTTTACAATTCTGTTTGTTATAATCTTATTTCTTATTAACAGTCTTCATTTTCTGAATCAGCACTCTTTTAAGTGCTGCTTTTAAGCATGGTCCTGAAACAACCAAAAGTTAGGGGGAATGAAGCCACTCTGAGGCGTGGAAGGCATTTGCAGGATGCTTAGTGCCACCTTCTGGACAAACATGTGTACTACAGCATATTCACAAAAAGCTTACTGTTGCACTGAGTTAGCTTTGCGGTTTAGAAGACATTATTAAGATCATTCATAATGGATATTCTGCAAATCAGAGTCACCTAAACTCAACTCAATGACAAGTATTGCTGCATTTTTTTTAAAATTCAGGTTTCATATGCCGAAACATTGTTCTACAGGCCAGTAGTCTTAAATGTGGCAGCATATGTTTAATGGATATTAAGTGTATAAATAAATGGCTTCCTGGAGTTTAAACACTCATTTAAATGCTCAGATACTCTATATACAGTCTACGATACACATGCAGGCTTTTGCCCCCAGCTGAGTGTGTCACATCTTCTGAAAATGACTTTTTGTTTCTGTCGCTCAGATACACGTGAATCTATTAATCATGGAGGCGCGGCTCCAGGCGGAGCTCCTGTACAGCCTGCGGGCCATCACGCAGTACATGATCCTATGAGGGGGACAAGTCTCCTCTCCAGTGGTACGGATGCCCACCCAGCACACTTGGGCCCACATGGGACGACAGCAGCACTTTTGGGGAGACATGGCTTCATGAATGTTAAACTGTAGTGTGCCACAACCGTCTGCTAATAACTGTTGTGTTGTCAGACATCTGGACATGATCAAATGTGCAATTCTAACTAGCTCTATTTTATTTTTAATTTTTTTTTCATGTAGCAATGGCCAAGAGTCCTTTTTAAATGACTATTACTGATGTTTTAGTCTGAAATATCTTTTTCTATAATTTGAATGTCAACGAGAGTAGAGGTGAGTTAGTTTTCGACAATCCTCGTCCATATTTTGGTGAGGGACTGGGACATGTATTGGACTATTGTCAAAGACATAGATTTAACCTGATTTACCAAGACATTGTAATAATTCTGAGCAGAACTTATGACATCACTTTAGTTACTTTTATTAAAATGCACTTTTTAACTTTATATATTTATATTAAAAACAAACTTGCGTTGAAGGTTTGACACACTCCAATGCAAAAAAATTAATTGAACATCTGACTGATCTGAAGCCAATTTTTTATTTTTTTTGGGGGGGGGGAAAAAACAAACAAAAAATCATAGTAATGGTCCAGTTATTAGAAAAGGCCAACGTACTAAGTCAAAAGTCAGAACAAGACTTTTGTTCTGTTACTCCTAGCAGTTGCATAGGACAGAATAAAATGGTCAAGTGATTGATTGTTGAGAATCATTTGTAAATTAGATTTTCCAAATGAAAGCATACTGTTATCAGTTAAAAACAAAAAGTGCAATGTGTCTTTTATACGTTTTTGTTTTTTTGCATGTGACACTAGGACCTCTGTTTGTTGGCCTGCCGCCTGGCAAGCCCTGACTGTGTGAACAGCTGTTAAGACATTAGAAGACCAGATGTAGATACATATCAATAAATGTGATAAATCCCAGTGCCTTCAGGTCAAAATTGGGGTGTTTCTGAAACAAAAATTATTACTAATTTTGGGCCTATAACAGAATCACTTCCATTGGAAAGTTTCAGCAATGTCAGCACCAGTACCAGCTGTGTACAAATATGCTTTAAAATTCAAGAGCCTTGGACACACGTGGATGTAAGTGTTCATCTTTACAAAAAACATAAATAATGAAAAATGAAGATCGCTCAGAAGACAATTGTAAAACACTTGAAAATGTGAAGAAGTTATGTTTTTTCTATAAAGATATTCTAAAGTAGTTGTCTTGTTTTTTGTTTCAAATGGAGTTTATTTTAGTCGTTAATGCTGTATGTAATGTAGCAAATAAGATCGCATACGTTGTTTAAATTAAATTAAGATTTACAAAATTAAAAATGCAAATCAAATGCAAACCAAACCGTTTGGTGTGGAACCACTGACCAAAATTAGAAAAATTATGTGTATTATGTTTGATATTATTTCATCAACTTGGAAAAATTACTTGTTTTTATCAGTGAAGCCAAAGACTATTAAGCACAAACAGAACAAGTTTGGTTTATTGAGTTTATTGAATTAATGTCTGCTGTTATTTCCGACTGACTTTATATTTTGTAAAAATTAAAAACATCTGGTCAGGCAGGAGGAGAAAGAAAAACTATAAACAAAGTCATGAACCTTATTGGCTTCTGCACATTAAGCCCCACCCACCCATGGGTAAGAAAATGAGAAACCCTTCCACATGATTAAAATGCTGTCAAAAGGGGCTATTATTCATTATATGTATTACACATAGGGGTTAACATAATCTACTTTAAAAGGGAAAAAATATATAAAACATTACACTTGCCTGATTTTATGCAGTAGATAGGCATTTTTCTGCAAATGTTTTCTAAACAATCAATTGCACATTTTTCTAAAATGTCCTAATAAAAAAATCCATGCACTTTAAGCTGTTTTAACTTTTAGTTATACCATTACTTTGGAGAAATATTTGATATATATCTATAAAAGGAAAAATAATGAAAAGATAAAAAGGAACTAATGATTGTTTGCTAATTTCTGAATTCACATCAAATTACATTTTGTGCTTAGGCCGGTAACTCTTGGTAACCTTGGTAAATAAAATACCCATTGCATCATGGTGTACTCTGAGACAGCCCTAGCACCAGTAATAAAATCAGTGAAAAAGAAGAGTGCTTTAAACAAAACGTATTCACAAAGCTACAGTAAAACAAAGCATACCTCCAGGGAAGGGCATGATCCTTTGAGAAAATTACAAACAAAAAAACATGTTTTAAAGGAGAAGAGGGCAAAATTAAATCTATTACAGAGTTTACATGCTATAGTGTTCAAACATTGGCAGTCAAGAGATAAAACAAAACAAAACAAAACAAAAAAAACAAGCAATGTACAGAGCAGGGACAGTTTCCCAACAACACTTTTAAGGAAAATTGAGAGCTGAGACTCCCAGTCAGCCTTGACTGAAAATAAAACAATAAATATTTAATCATTTCTAATATGACCAGATTTCCTGCCTCTTGAGGTGACCATTAAAGGCACCTCAGCTTCTTTTGAGATTAAGTTTTACCGTTTAAGGCTCTTTTCTAGAGTTTCTTGGTGTAAGAAAAAGAGAGTTCAGAAGCACAGCTGGGGAATTATAACAGTCATGTTTTGATTCACAATTGTATTATTCTTCGTTTGTTGTGACAGGCTGAAGCACTCCCTAATTGCCATGCAAATACAGTAGTGTTCCTTTGGTTATGTAAAAATCTACATGCATCTCATCCTTTACAAAAATAAAAGTATAGAAAATTACTGTTAAAATGTTGTATAGAATGTAAAAAACATGTCATTAGTAATATATTTATATTTTCTAATATCTCGTTTATGAGCTCCATCTAAATTGTATATTAAAACTATAATCAAATATATTCTTTTTGTCGCATACTATAAATTTCTTGAACGTTAGTATTCAATAATCAAAATGTAAGGATATTGTATCATGCAGCATCCCTGCTCCACTAATATCAGGATCCTTCAGGATTTTACCATGTTCTCCTGATAAATCTGCATAGAAAGACATTTTGAGCACATGTGCAATGTGTACATAACATGCATACAGGATTTAGACTCTTGTGAAATGGTTTAACCTGGATGTGGGGACCCTGTGAAGCAGGGAACCTAAGTGCTTTGAAAATGCACAGACTCTTTGAAAAGTATAAAATATTAGGTAGAACATTTGACAAAGAAGCTGGACTGCTGTCTCAGACAACATAATACTTGGCCAACTTATCACCCATACCATAGTTAAATAATTGTACCTAAAAATGCCCCATTTTGTAATTCAGAAATCACTTTACTTCATTTTGTTGGTTGAACAGCCCCTTAAGGACTTCAGACTTCCTCTGACTGACCCACCCATTTTAACACACTGGATTGTAGCAAAAATTTCTGCAAATACATACCATTGTCAACATTAAGGGTCCTCTATTACATGTTATTCAGGCTTTTGGACACATTTGGACACATGGCTATTTCATTTCATGTTTTTTGGCCTAAGGGGGGGCTACATGAGATAAAAAACAATGGTCATCTTTCAACACTGAGACTATCAAAACAAGTCAACAAGGTGTGTGAAGGCAAAACACAGGAGCACTTACACAGTTTACACCGGATTACATAGACTAGACGATTATTACTATAATTATTATTATTATTATTACCAGTGGACTAGAGCTTTTGAAGCGCTCAGTGACAACCTAAACGGTTACGGTGAGTGCCAAATGCTTAGAAAGTCTGTTTAACATAATACAGGACCTTTAAATGTGCTACTTTAAACCTTATCATCAGAATGAAAATCAAATCACACATCAAAATCCATGTGGACAGAGATTTGTAGCCACTGCTATATTGCAGGTAAATGCCTCAGTTTGTGGACCACCATGGTCTTCACTTGTGACATCTATGAAATATCTTTGGACAAAGGAAGTGAAGCATTGTGGTCATTCTGCTTTTGATCAATAGTTCAACTTAACAGAAGACAAGCCGCTTCCATGCCACATACAACCAAGGATCCAGAGGTACCATTTCTTCTGTAAAGCTTTTAGGGTTCAATACCACGGAATTGCCTAAACCCCCCAAAACAAGGAGTCAATTTGCCTTTGTCTACTTTAGACAAAATGCAGAATAGATTACACAGAAGAGATGTCCAGGTGCCAATCCAGGTAATAAGATATTATGCAGAGTAGCTTGGGACTTCTCCCTGTCTTCTGCTTGTCTTGGCACATGGCAATTGTGAGGTCAGACTTTGTCAGAAGATATCTTCAGCCAGTGGGAATGATCAACGCACCATTCATTTTGTCATTATAAGACATTATAAATGAAGATCATTACCTGCAAAACAATAAAGAAATATTTATTGTACCTGAAGTAAATTAACAATAGAATACCGCAATTGTCCTACTAAAATAGTACTTATGTACCTGGCTTGTAGGTGCAACCTGATGAAGACTTAGCTGGGCACCCAGTTGTGGGAGGAGCCCTGTGTGGAGGCAGGCCCTGTGTAGCCTTGGGTGTCTGGGAGAATGGGATCAAAGTTGAAGTCAATGCCATCCATGAGGTCAGTGTTGATGATGTAGTCCACATCACAATCCAGGTTTTCAGTGAACATGTCAATGTCCAAGTCTGTTGGCAGTCGATCAGGTGTGGTCTGGAAGCAGGAAGGTGCACCAAACTGTCCCATTCCCTGTAGGCCCATGTTGGGATTAGCTGAAGGGACAGCCCCCTGGTGATGAGAACCCACTGCAGATACGCCACTATGTTGTGCTTTAGGGCCTGAGTGGTGGGGTGTATCTGGGGACAGGCCTGAGAGCATAGCCATGTTTAGTCCTATAGCAGGATGGTGGTGTTGCTGTTGTTGGTGAAGGTGATGTGTTTGTGACTGCATCTGAAGGGCCATGGGAGCCACAGTGTTGGGCTCTAAACCCTTTCCCATCAACAACGGCCCAAGTGAGGCTTTGTTCCGGACCCCCACCATAGAAGAACCAAGACCCATCAGTCCCACACCCCCAGGATTCTGCATCAGAGGATCCACTTGAGAGAGGAGGACCTCAGTGGGTGGGGGAGAGTCTGATGTTAGCAGTGCCTCCAGACTTGATGGGACATGGCCACTGTAGTGATTACTGCCTCGGGAGGAGCTGGACATGGAGCTGGACATAGAGTTGGACATGGAGTTGGACAAGGGATTGAACAGAGAGTTGCTGAATGAGGGCTCTTTGCTGCTGGGGCCACACTGGGAAACTGCAACTGAGGTATTGCTGTGAGGAGTTGCCTGTGAGAGGCTGGAGGACTGCCGCTGATGAAATGAGGAGAAGCTGGACCCCCGGGGCAACAGAGTAGAGGCAGAGGGCAGAGGTGTGGGGGGTGCAGGGGGAGCAGTGCTGGGACTGGCTCCTCCCTGAGCGCTCATCAAAGTAAGGCCATCAATCAAGTCCAACTCCTCCATTAAGGTCTCTGTAAGAGTCGGGGTGGCATATCGCCCCAAAAGGCTGTCATCAGGCAGGTTATCATCCTCTTCCTGTCCCGGTGCGATGGGGGACAAGCGGCCACTCAGTGTGCTGGCATTAGAGCTGGTGCGGGGTCTGAAGGTGGTCCACATGTCTGGATCATCCAGACTGCCCCGGGATGATGGGCTATTGCTGTTCACTCCCCATTTGGAAAACTGTTGGGAGGAGTTTGGACTGTCAGATCGTGCTGAGGCTCCATTACCCTCTGTCTGCAGTGTTGCCCCAGAACTAGACAAGCCTGCGGCAACTGCCTGCTTCTTGGTTTGCTTTGCACGCATGCGGCTCTTCAGAAGCTTGCTGCTGTTGTCCATGGATGCTGCTCTGCGCCGAGGAGCTTTCCCAGTTTTACCTCCTTCTGGGTTGAGCATCCACCACGAACTTTTTCCAGTTGACTCATTGTGCACTCTCAAAAACTTGTTGTGGAGTGATAAATTATGGCGGATTGAATTCTGTTAATGAAAGAAAAAAGGACAAGAGGTAAATACAAAACAAATAGAATAATAAATAATACACTAACTATTGCAACATTAATAATTGATTTTGCTCAGATTTTCTTGTCCTCCACAAATAATTTCATTAGTCAGTGAACAGTTAGTTATATTAGACATGTAAACATTTTATTGCAACCGTAGACAAATTAATACTACTAATAATAAGGGAGCTTTGTTTTCTACTAATTATAAAATAATAAATAAATTACCTTCCAGCCTGCAGAGCTATTGCTGTCTCCTTTGTCTCTAAAATAAGGCACTGTTTTCACCATCCACTCATAGATCTGGGCCAGGGTAAGCCTCTTCTCAGGTGAGTTCTCAATTGCCTGACTAATCAGATCTGCGTAGCTCTGGTTTCCCCACGCGTTGCGGCGTGATGACCCTTTTCGGGGTGTTGCTGCGCCCCCTCCCACGCTGGGTACGAGCCCACCCTCTGCTGCTGCCACGGTCTTTTCATATTCGGGTGTGACTTGTTGCGTCTCAGGCTTGTCCTCATCGGCTGGCGGGGTACCGGTAGCGGACTCACTCCCTTCTGTGCCTTCGGCTTTTACAACAGAGATGTCCGGTCTGGGCAGCGGCCACGTGCATGACCGCGGTCTACTTTGGGGCTCAAAATCTGGGTCAATCTGGGGCGCGTTTGACTCCTCCATCACGGCCCAATGCAATTCCTCCTAATTTAAAAGTAGAAGCCACTCAAAACATGTACCTATAACTTCAAAGCGTATAAAAAAGTATGATTTAGTGACGGGTGTAAACAATGGGTCCACGAAAAGAGACGTAATAATCTGACTACACCAATCGCTCCGGTTAATCCTCAGATTGAAGATTAGGGAACCCAAATAATCTCCTTAATAGTAACTATCATAAAGCTTCCTATATAGAGTGTATGAGAGTCTCTTTGTTTGAATAAAATAAACAGCGACTGTGGAAACGCGCATCTGGATGGTTTAGGCTCACATTAAATGAATGGAAAAAGTTCCAGCGACTGCCACCTCTAACAGAAAGGAGAGAAAAATTTTCAAAGTTGAATTAAATGAATAATAAAATACACGCAAAAGTGATCTTGAAAATGATTAGTTCTCCCGCAAGAAAAAAAACCCTAAGAAGTATGATATTTGTACAGTACAGAACGGCCTTGCAAGGATTAGCTGGCTACTGTTACAAAGGAGCTTCTCAGGGGTGCCCCAGTCAGTCTCCACTTGTAAACAACTCTATGTCTGGTCTGTCCGCCAGTAACTTAACTTTAAATTCCACGAAAAAAAATATGAAAACCCACAGTGTGGTATGGATGGAGCAGAGCGGATACTAGCAATGTGTTAAAATGAAATGTCTGGTGTATTAGCTAAAAAGAAAGTACTTAAAAAACAGTTGCCTTCATCCTGAGTGGACCCTCGTAATTGATTCCAAGTAAACATCTACTTATGAGATACAGGTATGAATCTTCGATCTAGTCCGCATAACCAGTCTGTGTCTCAGGTCTGTACAATCCGCCACATTGCGAACTGGCGCATGTCACCATCTGCCATGTTTCTCCACTCTGCCGCGGCACGATGCGCCAAGAAGCACTTAGAAAAGCATTTCGACTGAAGACCTCTGTTTGGTTCTTCTCCTTCTCCACGTCCTAAAACTACAAAGTATTTGTGAGAGCGTTAAGTAAAGCAGTTAAGGGGCCGCTTCCTAGCGCTTTCGGTCGTCAATCGC